AAGATCTCTGCTACCCACGCTCTGTCTCCTTTTTTCTGTCACTCTGCCTTTCATATAAACGCAAAAAAGAAAGAAAGAAAGAAAGAGAGAGAGAGAGAGAGAGAAAGAAAGAAGAAAGAAAGAAAGAAAGAAAGAAAGAAAGGAAGGAAGGAAGGAAGGAAGGAAGGAAGGAAGGAAGGAAGGAAGGAAGGAAGGAAGGAAGGAAGAAAGAAAGAAAGAAAGAAAGAAAGAAAGAAAGAAAGAAAGAAAGAAAGAAAGAAAGAAAGAAAGAAAGAAAGGAAGGAAGGAAGGAAGGAAGGAAGGAAGGAAGGAAGGAAGAAAGAAAGGAAGAAAGAAAGAAAGGAAGGAAGGAAGAGAGAAAGAAAGAAAGAAAAGGAAGGAAATATGGAGGGAGGGAGGGAGGAGATAGCGAGGGAGGGAGGAATGGAGGGAAGAATGGCTGTGTGCTTGGATCTTAGAGTCCAGCAAAAGAGAGAAGTTAACGGAACACCAGCTTGAGTGAGGATAGAGACCTGCACCCTGTAGGAAAGACACAGCCAAGGACTCTGATCAGGGGAAGTAACGCATGTCTGAGGCCTGCGGGACAAACACCAACTCCACACAGGAGCTTCCTCTGCAGAGTACAAGCCTTTGGAAACAGACAACTGCACCAAGCCGTTCCACAGCAATCACCATCTCATCTTTTTGTAGGCAAAAGATATATTTAGCTGAGAGGCAGAGTCAATAGAGACAGAGAGAGATTGTTCATCTATTGGTTCAGTCCCCGAATGGTCATACCAGCCAGGACTGGGCCAGGTGGAAGCCAGGCTCCTACTACTCCGTTCAAGTCTCCCACATGATTACAGGAACCCAAGCACATCTTCCACTGCCTTCCCACGCACAAAGAGCTAGATAAAAAGCAGAACAGCTGAGACTCAAATCAGCACTCATATGGGATGGCAGCACTGCAGGTGGAAGTGTAACCTACTATGCCATGGTGCTGGCCCCAAGACACATCTCTTGATAGCTGGAGTGCACTAACAAACAGCCCAGATTGGAATATTTTAGAGTACAGGTGGGAGCTGCAAAGACTTAACACTGGGCCGACAGGTAGAAATCAGGACCTATCTGATTAATCAGGCTCAAGGTCCAATCGACTATAAGCATCTTTCCCTAGTCTCCTGCCACCAAAGGAGCTCAAGTGATTGGTCACAGTGTCCAGAGATGGGAGCTACTGCCTGCCCTTGCATGAGGAAGGAGACAGTGCATCCCAAGAACAGGCTAGGACTGTGGAAGGAATCACTACACAGGCTCCCAAGCTGCAGGGATGCGCAGGAAAGGAAGGGGCATGCAGGCTTGCTTCGGGGAACAGGTGGAGGGGATGCTGTGTGGCAGCAACTGAACTCTACTCACTCACAGATGGTGTTGCAGGCTCCCCACACTCCCCAACTGCCGAAGTCCTGCCTGCTTCAAGCTATTAGTGTGGGGAGGCTTGGTTTGTTCTTAAGGAAGAGGCAGAGCCCTGGGGAGTGTGTGTGTGTGTGTGTGTGTGAAATAAGGGGCATGGAGCCATTTCATCTTTCTATCTGTCCAAATGTCAGACTGTTAATACAAACCCTGTGCAGCTGCACCCCCAGAACACATGCCCCCCACTCTCCACCCCCACAAATGCTGTCACTTCCAGCTTAGCCTGTTGTTTGTTCCGTTTCTGTTCGGCGCCAGGCTCACAGGCCCCATGTAGGTAGAATATAACTTTCCATAAATAACCCTTAACCTGACCTACAATTTAGCCTTTTTTTTCCCCCCTCTCATGGCATCGGGACTGTGGCCTGGGCTGCTCACTCCTTAGCAAGCAGACCCTCAGTTGTGCTGGGAGTGGGCACTGTTGGAATTCCTACTCCCTCAGGCAGTTCCCCCCTACAGGGTACGGGATGCATTCAGTGCATGGCAAGGGGTGGTGGGCTGACTTCCTTCCATCTGTCTGCCAGCAGCCAGCAGCCTCAGTGCCTTTGCTTGGGCTATACACTCTGTTGACAAAGCCCGTGTTCCCTTGTCATGCTGATAAGCTTCTAAGCACCACCATGTCCATGAAGCTTTGCCTGACCACTACCCTTCCTGGTCATCTTCTAGCAAGTCACTCCTGTCGTTGGTTCCCATGGCATGTGGCACGGGACAGTGTGACCCAATCAGATATGCACATTGCCCAATAGCCTCTGAGCAGCTGAGGTCTGGCTCCATGCAAACCATATGGCCACTTCATGCCTTGGTTTCCCTAGATTGAAATAGCCAGAGCTGCAGAGCCTGTCCCCGCCATTGTGCCACACTGCCTCTGGCGGCGATATAATGACTGTTTCCTCTCTGGCTCTCACTGAGGCCACTCCAGGTCTGGAACCACAGAGAGAGGGATGGGGCAACAGTACCCACTGCTACCAATCCAGGGAAGACAGGCTTGGAAAAAGGGTCAGACATCACCTCTGCTCTTGAGTATCCCGTTTTTATACCGTGGAACATAAGAGTCACATTTGTAAACCAGTTTTGTGAGTTGGTTAGAACTGTGTTTGGCTTTTTATCAATCCTAGCAGCAAGCAAGTCTTGATTAGGCTCAACAGGTGTGTTATTCCATGGATGATGTCAATCAAGACATAGACTTAAGAAGTCAAGGAGTGATGGGGACAAAAAGGATTGGGGCATCTAAGGAGAGAGATCATTGCTGATGGGAATATCTCTGGAAGGTTTAGGGAAATGGTAACAATTACATGGACCCTAAAGAAAAATGTGGGGAGGAGGGGAGAGTCTGACTTTGCGGTGCAGTGAGTTAAGCCAGTGCTTGCAATGCAGCTATAACAGCAGATCCATTTCAAATCCAGGTTCCTGCCAACGTGCCCTAGAAAGCAGCAGATGTTGGCCCAAGTGCTTGGATCGCAGACACCCACATAGGAAATTAGGGTGAATTTTCTGACTCCTGACTTCAAATTGATTCAGACCTAGCTGTTGGTAGCCGTTTGGGGAATAAACCAACACCTTGCTCCCTCCCTCTCCACCTGCCTTTCTAGTCAATAAATAGATCTTTCAAAAATCTCAAGGAAAAGAAAAAAAAAAAAAGCTAGAGTTCTTGGGGGAGTTCAGTGTGGGAGCAGCCAGCATAGGAGACAGCCAGCAGCCTGGTCATCTGCAATTCTCACGCAGGCTTGCAGTGCAGGGTTAGGAGTCAAGTGGAAGATGGACATCCTTGTTAGACTGAGTTGCTCACACTTGACCGTGGGCAACAAGCAACTGCACGACCTGGAGCTGGGGGCTGAGGTTACAGCAATGACCTGGCAGAGGAATGAGGTCCAGGACAGGAAAGGTGACCACAACTTTTCAAAGGAAGGACACGACTGCCCCCCACCCCGCCGGTAATCCCATCCCCAGCCATCAGAGAGCAGAGATAACCACGAGGTCTTAGCTTCACGGCCAAGTGTAGGGTGTGACGGCAGAAAGAACTGATGGTGTGTGTGGCTGACAAAAGATGTCCACTTCCTCTCAGGTAGGACTCATGGTCTTTATTAACAATGCCTCTGGACTCAGAACAGACTGGTATTTGAGGAAGCAATATTAACATTGTCATTCTCTACAAGACAAACTTTTGCATAAATAACTTAAGTGAGAAAATAAATAGGTAACCTTACTCTTTTCAAAGCCATGACCCTCACTCTTATGGGGACATGTCCGTCCTCCACCCCCAGCCCCGCCCCGTTTCATGGAAGGAATTCCAAAACCTCCCGCCAGCCTGGCGGGCTCTCCAGCTGCTTGTGCTCCTGTTTAAGGCTGTCTTTCCTTGGGAACAATGAAAAACTACACAGAAAGGAAGCTGTGTCTGGGAACAACTGGCCCAAGTTGTGTGGGTGGCAGCAATTACACTCTGCAGTTCTCAGCATATGTACAGCACCTGACATCCTTCCCCATTAGGCCTTTTTTTTTTTTTTTCCATGTGAGAAACACCTTCACGGTAGAGCAGCAAGAAGCTGTGCTGGGGACAGATGCGTGTCTCTGAGTAGAGACCAGGGGATGGGCTTCAGAAAGGATCCGCTGGGATCTGAGTGGGGATGGCTGCTCCCTGTGCAGCATCCTTGAGGGGTCTCCACTTGTAGAGTCACCCCTCCCACCACCCTGAGGACCCTTCTCCTGCTCCTCCCCAGTCGGTGGTGTTATTTCTTTGAGATGGACGGGTGGAGGTGGGGAGGCCAGATGGGGGCACAGGCAACTCCTTTCAGGAGTGTCTCGGCCATACATAAGCACTGTTCTTTTCTCCTGCTTGTTTTTTCATCTTTGCCTGTCACTTCGGAGCTTCACAAACCCAAATTCTGGAAGTGACCTTGGCAGGGAATCCATCGAATCAAGTCTCTTTCCTCGCCTCTCCCTTCCGTGCCTTCCAAGGGCATCCAAGACCTTGGACTCATACAACAAAAGATTCCTTGAGACCCCTAATCCCACCCCACCCCCACTTAGCAAAGAGGAAGTGTGAGATCCCTGCAGGGAGTCACACAATCCAAGGTCATGCGCGATTTAGGGGCAGAGAGTCAGGATCAGAAACTGCTCCTGGCATCACACAGGTCTTAGGATGGGCAAAAATGGAGAAGGACCCTTAGGGGAGCCTTCCTAACTCCTCCCTGGACTTTTTCACAGCCAACACACACACACACACTCTCTCTCTCTCTCTCTCTCTCTCTCTCTCTCTCTCTCTCAAAACCCCAGAGGGTGAAATTCCTCCTCTGCAGAGGGACCAGCAGAAGTAGGCACCCTCGTAGGCGGGGCTGCCTGGCTCAGTGCGGCTCTCAGCTCCTTCCACCGCCTGGCGGGACCCCCTTGGCGGACAAAGTAGGGGGGTGGGAGAACTTTGCTGACACCTGGGTTCTGCCGGGCCCAGAAGGTTTTGGCCCCCTGCCCTGGGTAGCAGGTACTTAAATACATACGACCCCGCCCCGCGCAGAGGACAGAAACCAAGTGGGGGCTCCCGGGCCGGCGCACCAGCGGCGCAGGCTCTAATAGGCGTTCTCCAGCTCGGCTTGATTGGCTTTGGTGCCCCGGGCTCGGGGCCGCGGCTTCCGGCCCTTTTGTGGCCGAGCAGCTTCGGGCCCGAAGTCCTTGAGCTCCGACTGGTTGTGGAAGCGAGTGAGGCGCTTGCACTTGCACGAGGCCACGAGGCGCACCTTGTGAGCACGGGGCGCTGCGCCGCCGGGACACAGCAGCTGCACGCGCTGCGCGCGGTAGCGGTCGGGGATGCAGCGGAAATCGGGTCCTCTGGAGCGCCACCACTTGCCGCGGCCGATGGCGTTGGGCAGCAGGCGGGCCGGGCCGCACTGGCCCGAGCACACCAGCTCGGTGACCGGCTTGGCACTGCGGCACAGCCCATCTGTTACGTGGTGGGTGAAGTGCAGTTCCCGGCAGCTGTACTCAGACAGATCTGCGGAGAGAGGCGCGCGTGAGGGCGGGGCATGGCAGGGCCCGGCCGGTTCCCTGCACACCCACCCTTTCCCAGACCACATCTGCTTCATTCCCCCCCCCACCCCACGATGTGCCCGTGTGTGCCTCTTACAGGAAGAAGCTGATAGGAACATGCCAGGTCCACCTTCCCTGATAGCAGAAGCTGGAGTGTCATCCCTCACCACTGGTGAGACCCTCCGACAGGTTAACTTAGCCTATCACTTCTTCCAATCTGTAAAATGGGCTGTCCCAGAGTCTCCAGGGAGCGTGTCTATAGCAGAGCTCCCTGTTGGGCCTATGATAGGAGTGGGGCTGCTGGCTGTTGGACATTATTCTTATTCCTCTCCAGGGAAAGGGCTGAGTTTAGTCACATCTGTGCCCCCAGAGTTAGCAGCCACACCTGCACAGTGCTGACTTCTCTCAAATTCCTTTTCCAGCCACTTGGCAGGAGCCGGCAGGAGAAGGAGAAAGGAGGAGAGGTTAATTGCAGGCAATAAATCAGAGTAGCTGTGAGAGAGGAGCAGGATGAAGGAGAGGCGGTGGGACTAGGAATTCATTAGACTTGAAAGGATCCAAAGCTGTGTGTCCAACCCTCTTATTATCATCAACAGCACCAACACTGAAGCCTGGAGAGAGGAAAAACTGGCCCCCAAGGCAGAGCTGAGTCGCCGGGCTCCCCTCCTTGACCCAGCCCCTGCTGCATCGCGCGTGGGTGGGTTGCATGTGGTGAGTGCCTGCATCAGCTGGGCCACTGGGGCACTAGAGCTGCCATTCCTCCAGATACTCTGCCAGAGGGACTCTGAGCTCTGCCCCCAGACCCACAGCGTCAGCAGCCACCTGCATTTACCTAGAACCTGCTGTGTGCCCTGCTCTGGACTGAACACCTCTCTTGATCGTTGTTACCCAGATAGATGGGCATCCGATGGGGATGCAAACTTGCTCGCTGGATAGGGCACACTGCACTGGAGGACTGGCTTGGTTCCCTGCATGCGCTGGGACTGTGTCTCTTCCAGTGACTTAGACAGCTGGTTGTCATTAAGCAGTCAACCAACCCTAAAGGCTTCTCTCATGAGCACCCAGGGAGGTAGACATGTTGTATTGGGGTCCCCTTCAGCCCTCTAATCATCTGAACTCAGGAACTGCTGGGAGGAGGAGGACTCTGGTCCTCCCGTTTTGAAATTCAGGGTCCACATGGGATTGCCCTTCCCCATGTTCCATTTCCCGCAGCAGCCTAGGAGGCTGGAGGGGGTGGCACGTGGAAGCCTGTCAGTGCCCCCTCCTTCCCACCCAGATGATGCCGACAGGGCAGTAGGCCCTTAGTGCAGCCATCATCCCAGCCATGTAGGTTGTCCGCCCCCAGGCTTTTCTGGGCAGTCTTGATGGGAAACCCAGATACAGCCTCTCTGAGGGCTCTGCCTTATCTCCCTCCCAGCAGTGAGATAAGGCTGGGTCTGGGGTGGAGGCTCTGCATCCCAACTCCTGCCAAGGCCTGGACTCAGCTGCTGCCCACACCTGCCATCCTTCAAGGTGTTTGACCTCCACCCAGCACAATTACAGTCTGCCAAGGGCATCCGACAATCAGCAGGTATGTGAGGCTCCTGCCTCGTCCCCAAGCCTGGCTCCTGCACTCTAGGGAGAAGTTTATTTGAGCCCTTTTCTTTACTGAGCTGTGGAGCCAGTCTCACTGTTGCACCCTGCCCACCTCTGCCCCCTGTTAGCCTGGCACCCTTGAACATGAATGCTAAGGTCACACTGGTGTACCAACCTTCCCTGCCTCAAGAGCGCCTGTCCCTCTGCTAGTGAAGTAGAGACTGTGTCCCCTGGTCCTCAAAGCTTACCAAAGAAAAGATTCTAAAACAACCCTCCCTTGTTTCTCAGGGTCCTTGGGCTAACAGCTCTACCCTCTACCCCATACCTTTGGTCTCAAAGGGGTGGTGGGGAGGCCTCCCTCCGTTCTCGGCCCGGTTCATGGTCTTGTTGTTATCCAGCTCCGGTGGGGGCTCAGGGTACTCCCCCAGCCCAGGGATAATTTCTGTGGCATCATTCTTGAAGGCCTGCCAGCCCTGGCCCTCCACCACGTGGAAGGCAGAGTGCATCAGCAGGCAGAGGAGACGCAGGGCTAGAGAGAGCTGCATGGTGCCAGCCAGAGGAGGGCACTGCCTTCCAGTAGCACAAGCTCGGCTCCCCAGCCCAGACTTGGTCCCCTTTTTAAAGCCCCCTCTGCCTCGTGCCAGCCAATGAGGACAGGCTAGGGCAGGGCTGGCTCCATGTCTCCAGCAGCTCTGGGGGAGGGAAGGACTATGCTCAGAGCAAGCCCTTCCCAAAGATTTTTCCTGGAGCTCATCAGACTTCCAAGTTTGCAGCTGGCACTCCCAGGTGACCCAGAGAAAGGAGGCGTGTGAGGCAGGGCCCACGCCTGCTCTCCAGGCACCTCCCACAGGCCAGCGGCTGTGGTTTTCCCATAGCTGCATTGAGCTCTAGCTGTTAACAGTCCACCTCCCCTGGGCATCGTCAAAACACACAGTGCTCCAGCCTCAGCCTGACCAAGAGAAGGTGCAGCCCAAGCCAAGTCCCTTGGTCACTCCCAGCAACAAAGAAACCTCAATGGCCCAGCGTTTTAAGGCTCAGCAAGGACCACCCTGACCAAGAAAAGCTCTCTTGCCATTCTCAGGGAGGCAAGTGAGAAGGAAACGGTGTGTGGGGGTGGGGGAAAGGGATGGCACGCAGGGGCAGGGTGCTGGCTGGGGCAGGCACTGCCCAGCCAGGACCCCAGTTGTGGCTCATGGGCTGATTAGCTACAAGCAGTCATTTCCTAGGCCAGGCTCTGGTGGGAGTGAACCCCGCAGCAGCCAGTGCCGAGCCCAGTGGTACCAGCGTGGATGTTTCCCCCACACCCCCTTGTCTTGCAGCCTGTTCCATTTGTCACAAACAGCATGGAGTACCATGTGAAAGACTTCAGCAGTGCCTCCCATGGGATACCTTCTCTAAAGCCATGCAAGTTGAGTCCAGCCAGCTACAGAGAAACCAGAGGAAAGTGAGGCATCTGGGGGTGGGGGAGTGGGGCGGATAGCAGAGGAGGGTTCACACCTGAGGTGCCAGGAAAGAGAGGAGGGCCGGGCGGATGGACAGGCAGGTGGCGGAAGCTTTTGCTGGGGAGGGCCTACCACGGCCAGACAGGCCAGCTCACTGCTCTGGCCTGCAGGAAGGCAGGGACACAGGGGCTGTGGCCAGATCCCCTTGGTATGCTAACTGGGCAATGAATCAACCGGCCCCACCTGCAGAGCCGTTGCCACCTGCCTCAACTTGTACGTTCTGAGCCCACCTGTGGCCGACTGTCCTCTGCCTCTCTGCCATCCATCACTTGACACATGAATGCAGCTGTGCTGACAGTTTTACAAGCCAGACAGAAGCCCCCGCAGGAAGGGCCCTTTCTGATACCTGCTTCCTATGTCAGTTTCCTTCGGGGCAGACGAAAACAGCTGTGGCCATTGTTGGGAGTGATCTATCTCTCCCAGCAGAGCCAGCAGTATTATGAGAAGCTGCGCCTCCTCCCCTGGACCGTGACCCTCCAGCCTCCTTTTCCCTTCTAGCTCTGGAATGTGCACTGTTAACCCTGTTGTAGCCAGGCCCGGACTTTGGAGAAAACAACTGGCCCTCCTGGGATCTTTGAGACCGATGCTTAGAGCCCCACCTGCTGGCGGGAGCCGCTGCACCAGCCTTGCATCTGTGGGACCATCCTTGGAACTTTTCTGCCACCTGCTGGAGAGTGGAGGAGGAGCCAGCGACTAAGGGGCTCCACGGTTCATCTATTTTATTAGAAACAGAAGTCATATTGAAAAGAAAAAAGGAGAATCCGGTGGACTTGAACCCTGCGGTGATTAACAGCATTCTAAATCTTGTGCCTGTGGACAGCCATACATTCCACAGACTGGCTCGGCGTGAGTGCGGTGCCATGTCAGCAATTCATCCTCCTTTGGTCCACTTGCCCAGAGTGAAACCTCCAGGGTTCTAGCCAAGTCCTTGTGTGGGTTATCAGTTTATCTCCAGTAGCCTCAGCAAGGCTGCTAGGAACATCCTTAAGCAAACTCGTCTTCAAATGGATTGTTAAATTTTGTGATCATCATCAACTCACACGCACTTGTATGAGCTAGTGCTGAGGAAGTCAGCGCGCTCTCATCTCGGAGGTAAACCATGCGAGTGTGCACATACCTCCTCCAGGATGTGGCTGACACGTCACTTATTCCAGTCCCCCAGTGTCATCTGTTCTGAGTGCACATAATGCAAACTTGCGTAAGTGTGAGCGCAGATGTGTGTTCAATTTCATTGGAAAAGCTGGGTTATTGAGAAAGAGCTTGCATCTGTTGTTTCACTCCCCCGATGGCTCCCCCAAAGCCAGGAGCTTCCTCCAGGTTTCCCATATCGGTGCAGGGTCCCAAGGACTTAGGCCATCCTCCTCCACTTTTCCCAGGCTATAACCAAGGAACCGAATTGAAAGTGGAACAGCCAGGACTCAAACTGACACCCATATGGAATGCTGGTGCCCCGATGGAAGGTTAGCCACGGCACCAGCCCCTCAAATGTTTCCTTTTGTGAGGACTTGGTCATGCTGGATTAAGGTCCACTCTACTGACCTCAGCAAATTGTGCCTTTTATAGCCCTGTTTCCAACACAACCACATGCTGAGGTTCCTAGTCGTGGCACAAGAGAATGCCACTCCATAGCCTGTCAGCGCTGGGTCTGGGTTGTTGATGCTGTCCAATGAACTATAGTAGCTGGTGTGTGTGATGGTTGCCAAGCTCTTGGTCCTACTGGGCATCCTGTTCCGAAGCAGAGCAGACATGGTCACCTGCAACAGGCATGTGCAAAAAAATCACAGGGCACTCCACACATGGAAAGCTAAGAAGCTTTGAAAACACAGGGCGCAGAACCGTAAGAAGTCGTCACTACAATACTCAGGAAAACAAAAGGCACAGAACATGTTCCATTTATGGAGAAAGGATCTCTCGACATGCGCACATGTGTCTACACACGCATGGGACTGGAAAGCTGCGATCCCGCACTGCGGCCTCCTCTGCAGAGAAGCACTGAAGCAAGGGTGGGCAGCAGGGGGTGGAGGGGACGGCAGAGGAGCCCATTCTGTTATCAGCGTTTTTCTTAGTTTGATTTACACCGCGCGTGTCTTAAGTCAAAATGTTTTTAACATCACACTAAGTATTTTGAGCAGCCTTCTACATTGGTGTTCTTCCTTAAGGTTTGTGGGAAAATAAAAATCTATGTTGTCAACAAGGTAAGATTAGCAGCAAACGGGTTTACCTCAGCTTTCCAGATTTTTCTAAGTTTTCTCTATAAAAGTTTTCTATTTTATTTATTTAATCTGGAATAGTTGCCCAACTTAAAAAAAATCTGGGGCCCAGCATGGTGGCCTAGTGGCCAAGGTCCTCATCTTGAACGCACCAGGATACCATATGGGCACAGGTTCTAATCCCAACTGCTCCACTCTCCATCCAGCTCCGTGCTTGTGGTCTGGGAAGGCAGTTGAGGACAGCCCAGGGCCTTGGGACCCTGCAACCATATAGAAGACCCGGAAGAGCTCCTGGCTCCTAGCTTTGGATCAGCGCAGTACCAGCCATTGCAGTCACTTGGGGAGTGAACCATTGGACGTAAGAACTTCCTCTATGTCTCTCCTCCTCTCTGTGTATCTGACTTTGCAATGGAAATAAAAATAAATCTTAAAAAAAGTCTAACTAGCAGAGTGACACAGAGAAAGAGAAAAATCTTATATCTGCTGCTTCACTCCCCAAAAGACCACAAAGAGCAAGGGTGATCCAGGAGCCCGGAGCCCGGAGCCCGGAGCTCCACTTGGGTCTCCCACTGTGCTGTTTTCCCAGATGCATCAGCAGGGAGCTGGATCTGAAGGCAGCTTAATCTGCTGTTCCATAATGCTGGCTCCAAAGTGCCCAATTTTCCCTGAGGTTTTTTTTTTTTATCATTATTATTCAGAGGAAAAAAAATGAATATTGGACTGACAGTGGGATTTAAGGCAGCCTAGAGCAAGAAGTATGTTTTTGATTTGCCCATTTCCAGGATCATTCAGACCCTACAATGTCACATAGTCATTTTCAAGAAGTCACCTTGAGCTCTCCCCCCTCCCCATCCTCTCTTTCTTAGAAACACAAATCTTATCTCTCCCCTGCCCCCAATTCAGTGGACCACTTTATCAAGAGCATTCCTAACACAGGAAGTTTCTGGTACTGCAGATATGGTCAACAAATACAAACTGGAATGGACACGAAGAAAAAAACAACAGAAACACAAAAGCCTAAAAGAAAACTAAGAAGCAGGGCAAGAAAGTGACTTATTGATCATGTGATACATTTATTTTGGTTACTATTTTGGTAAAATTAGTGTCTTAACACTGACTCGCGGTACAACAAACATTGAACTTGCCCTTTAAAAAAAAATCAGTTTGATATCTTCCCTTTTTCTGTCCAAACAATTCACTCTTTCACAATCATACTCCTACAAGGCTAACAGGAGGCAACAGGGTCCCCAAAGTGAAACTCCCAGTCCACTCACTACCGCCACCTGCCAGGACCCCGATTTCCCAAGTAAAAACCTGGCTGGGCAGGATCACATGGGAGCCCTGGAGTGCCTCCAGCCACCAGTCTAAAGACAAAGATCCCTGCGAGAAGAGCTCATTTCTTCATACTTCAGGACAGTGTTTATTTTTACTAAAACATTAGCATCTCCACATGGTTAGCATCTTCACAGGAGCTTGCCACACAAAAGCCACCAACTTCCATTTCCCCATTCATCCACAGCCAGCGGAGCCGCACAGCGCCGCCTGCTGGCTATAATATTATTACTCCTCATGCACTTTAAATCCTAGGGTAATGGTGGCTTGGGGGGGCGGTACATTCCAAGTGGGATTCTTAAAAACTCTTGCAGTATCCAAGCCAAAAGGGGCCCCCGTGGTCTTCTGAATGGGCTCCCTCCGTTCGACAGGTGCTGGTTCCTGCTCTTAAGATAACAGACTGGTAAGGAGGTATGAGGGGGAGTGCTTTACAAAGAAAACTGCTTGGTGCTCTAACTTGCCTGGAAGGGGTTCTGTTGAATCACAGAAGGGGCCAGGGGTGGGGATAGGACACGGGCACCCTGAGTTCCTATTCCACAGCATTCCCAGTGGGTAGAGAGCTGCCCACTCATTGGGCATGAGTGGGCTCTCACTGCAAGCATTCACTGTACTTGATTTTACAGTTAAATCTCATGAAGAAAGCATCGGTTCCTCGGGCTACAGACTATCAGGAAATTCTCAGTGAGCATCTGCACTTCCCCGCAGACAGGCCTGGAGGAGGCGCTTCTTAGTTAACTGGCTGTGTGAACCTGTTCTGTTCACCTAGGTAACTGTGGCCGCTCCGTGGGGTGACTGCTGTGGGGGCATGGGATGGGAGCTCCAGTGCTGGAGCCTCTCCCAGGGGCACAGCAGGAGGCTGTGATTTCAGGGTGCTGTCACCTGGAAAGCCAGCTGCAGACCCTAACCTACTTGGGGTACCACAGGTTTGCTCCCTTTGCCAGGGCCAGGAGAGCATGTACAGCAGTATACCTGGACAGTCCCAGGTGGCTCCTTTCTTTTAAATTTTCTTTTCTCATCTACTTAAAAGGCAGAACAGCAGAGAGAGATAAGTCAACTAATGGCTGCCTTGCTCCCCCAGATACCTACAATAGTCAGGGCAGGGTCAGGCCAATGCCAAAAGCCTTGAACTCAACCCACGCCTCCCATGGGAGTGGCAGGGCCCCAAGTACTTCGGCTGCCACTTGCAGCCTTCCACGATGCAGTGACGGGAAGCCAACTGAAAGCAGCAGAGCTGGGACTTAAACCAGCACTCTGACACGGATGTGGGCACCCCAAGCCCACTGTACCCTAACACCAGTTCCCAGAGCTCACCTCTGTAGAGGTGTCCTTTGGAAGAAAAACTGACTTCCAGAACATCAAAGTCAGAATATTGCCTCTCTTATTAACAAAGAGCCGAGCCACAGCTTCCATTCCAAGGTTACAACACAGGACTCTGCCCCAGCAACTGCGGGGCCTGAGGAGAAGGAAGTGGGCGGGCAGGCAAGCTAACCAAAACTAGAAAGTGCAGTGTGGTCTACCGGGCCAGCTCGGCACCTGGAAAAAGACGACAGACCCCAGTTGTTCGGGGCTGTGGCATCACAGAGAAAAGGGGACAGTGACCATCCAGAGTCACACCTGTGAAGACAACCTCCCCCATCCCCCACGGACACCTGCTTCTCCCTGTCCCGACTGTCCTAGCTCCCTGACCTTGGCCAACTCCAAAAAAAGGCACATCCTTACCTCAACAAGGTAACACGACCTGAATTGAAATGTAAAGCTGAGTTTCACAGATTCGACAAAAGTCCCTGATGGCGTCTCCCCTGCGGGAGAAGCTGGTACAGATGCTTGCTTGTGATCCTACCATGGATCCAGGCACCTGACGCAGCCACGCCAGCAACACTCATTCTCTGTATTTGGTACTTAAATAAGGAGTTGCATTCCCTGACCTTTGATCAAACACCTGGGTTCCAGGTGCTGGGGGTGTGGCCTACCACCTGTCCACATACAGTGCTCCCAAAGGCAAACAACCATGCAGTGATGCATCACTTTTCACAACAACAGGACCATTCCCTTGCTGGCTCATCCGCCGGCACAGCCACCCCCCTCCAGCACCCCCACCCCTGCACTGTAACTGGCCAACTTCCTCCTCTGGGTCTTGGAATAGCAACTGTGAGGACAACTAGCTAGCGCATGCGCCTGGGGCCCACCCACACTGTCATTTCAGGGAAAAAAGAAAACCCTCATAATTCTGCAAATGGTGAGGGTTTGCAATGGGCTGGGCCTCAACATCCTGCTTTCAAATGGAGGAAAAGAAAGTCACAAGTCATGCCGGAGGCCGCGCCCTCCTGCCGGGCCCACAGGCGCTGAGGGGCTGAGGGAGGGTGGGTAGCAGTGCACTGTGAATGGGGGCTCCCCACAAAGTGACCTTTCAAAGCTCCTGGGGATGCAGGGCGTCCTTCCGGGGGAACTGGCCTGACCAAGAGGCTGCTCTGTGGGCAGTTTCCATCAGTACAACTGGCAAGCATGCCCGCCCAGAGGCAGGCTCAGGCAGCTCCGGCCTAGAGCAGGAAGTGGATGCAGGAAGGACTGTAGGGGCAAGGCGGGGAGGGGGAAGACAGCTGTGGTGGGGACAGAGGGGCCTGCACCTGCTAGCCGGCACCCCCTACTGAGGGCCCCACTCAGGTGAGGACCGTGAGGGGCTGGAGAGGAGGTGGCAAGGGGCCCTCCCGTGGCCCTGCTGCCCACACTGTGGGAGGACTCACGCCAGGCCTCCCCGTGGGCCTGGCTGGCTCGGAGAGAAGACACCGTAAGTTACAGAACAAGACAACCGGAGAGCGAGAATGCGCGTCTCAGCAAGCTTCTTGAGGGGTCCCAGACACTGCAGCCTGGGGCTGCATTGGGACAGGCGTGTGGGCGAGTGCCTGGTGATGCGAGGAACAGGGGACACTGTGCTTGCTAAACATGGCGGCCCAGGGTTCCCTGGCGGCGCCTCTGGAGATGAGGCAGAAAGCCACGCGCTAGAGTTTCAACTTCCCCTCCTTGACCAGTCTGTCGTTAAGCTGGCAGAGCTGGGCCAGGAAGCCGTCGTTGGGGCCGATTTCACGATTCTGCCTCACGGTGCTCAGAGCCGACTTGACGTCCATCTTCTGTCGCATCATGAGGTACGCGATGACCAGGGTTGGGGAGCGGCTATAGCCTTCACGACAGTGGACGAGTACCTGACCTGCAAGAAACACAGAGATGTCATGGGCCGAGGCATGCCGAAATCCACCCCCACCCTGGAAATACCGCACCTGCCACTGTGCACCAGGCACAGCCACCAGCCCTCTCCCATATGGCTGGAGGAACACCGCGGTCAGAGAAACAAGGGCCCTCACTTGTGAGCACCAGTTTGAGTTCTGACTGCTCTGCTTCCCATCCTGCTCCCTGTTAACACACCTAGGAGTGTGCGGGGGGGAGAGGGTGGGGTGGGCCCCGGCTGGCCACATGGATTCCTGGCTTTGACCTGGTCCTGCCCTGGCTGTTCTAGCCATTTGGGGAGTGAATCAGTAAGTAGAAGATCTCTCTCTCCTGGTAAGTTTATCTTTGTGTATAGGTCACTGACTTTCAAATTAAAAAAATGAAATCCAAAAAAAAAAAAGAAAAAAAAAAAGGAACAAGGCCAACCAACTCTCCTGCCTCCTTCTTGTCCCCCAGGGTCAGTGGGGTAAGGAGGGAGGAAGATGCAGAGAGACGCTGGGACAAACAGCTCAAAGCAGGGAGGCAAATGGCCTTCTAGGGTTCCCCCGATGTCCTTTCTGACCGGAAGTCCCGCATGGTTCTCCTTCAGTCTGACCTCACACTTGGGTTTCAGGAAACACTTGGAGGGCAGCTGGCAGATCAGGATTGGGGGCTGCAGCTTGCTGATGCCCTGGCTACCCTATTTCTCCTGGCAGGTGTTTGTGGGAGTTTGGTGAGGTGGGGAGTACTTGCTGATCATGGAAACAGGGTCCTAAGGAACAGACGGCTACCTTACCTCTTGCACTTTCCTGCGGCAGCATGGTGACGGGGAGGCTCGCAGCCTTGAGGGTGGCAGAGGAGACAGCGGGGAAGGGCCAGATCTAAGCCCCACCACCACGGAGCCACTGAACCCAAGGCTCTACCACCCCTCTCCCATGGAACTTCTCGTTATGTACTACAAATCGTCCCCCTCCCATTCTCCCTCACTCCTTACCGTTCTTGTGAGCCAGCGCCTGGTCTATGAAGTCTGCAGCTCTTTCAAAGTAGGCGCTGAGGTTGAACTCCTGGGTGTCATTGGCCTTAATGCCCAGGTAGGTGATACCAGAGTCCTTGTAGAAGTTGGCGTTGGTGTTGACGTGCATGAAAGACCGGCCCTCGGCAGCATTCAGGACATGAGTGATGCCCAGTTTCTGCAGCTTGGGGATGTCCTGGGCCACAGAGCTGGACAGGAAATGGCAGCAGCGGATGATTAGCCAACTGCCTCGCAGCAACCCCCACTCCCAGAACTCCTGTCTGCCCCTGCCAGTTTCTCCAGCCTCATGTTGGGTCCTCATGCCTCACTGCAGCCATATCCCATGACCGGCAGCTTCCCCAAATAGCCTAGTGGTTTCCTGGCCCACGCTGGGCCACCTGCTCTTGCAGACACCCGCCTCCTCATCTTTCACTGCCCTCGGCAATGTTGTCTCCTACTCCCTCCATCCACCTGCAATGACGCTGCTCATGCAGTGGGGGAGCAGCCAAGGGGTGAAAAAAATATCCCAGACTGCCTGGATCAGACCTCAACCCTGCCACTTCGCTTCTCGGCAACCTTGAACCACAGTTAATCTTTCTCTGCCACAGGCTCACTCTCCATAAAAATGAGGGTTGAATGCACTGTCCCACTGACACAGAATTACTAGTCTTCTTAAAAAAGATTTATTTAAAAGGCAGAACCATAGAGAAAAAGGTATCTTCCATGTGCCAGTGACACGAATAACCGTGACAGCCAGGTAGGTCTAGGCCAGGTTAGAGCCAGGAACTGCGTCCTGATGGGTGGCAGGGGCCCAAGCCCTAGAGCCATCATCTTCTGCTAACTCAGGTGCATGAGTGGGATGCTGAATAGGAAGCAGAGTAGCCAGGACTTACACTGGTACTGTGATTCAGGATGCTGACTTCTATATAGGATGCCAGCATCGCAGGGAGTGGCTCAATGTGTGTGCACCACAACATGGGCCCCACAAGTACTATTATTCTAACATGTGTGTACGGGTTTATTTATAGACTCTGCCAGGCAGCCCCACATCTGCTTCAGGTGCATTTCCCCCGCACCTGCCATGGCACCGGCACATGTTAGATGCTGACTAACAACACAGTGAATGCATAAGGAGGGACAGTGTGCCAGGCCAGACAGCCCTGCCCTGCACTCCAGTAGGACCTCCCCAGCCCACTCCACTCGCCATGGATCTCAAGTGTCCTTGGGTAAATTAGCATCTGGGAAGTAAGTGTCCCTGAGAGAACTAGAGAGGTTGCAAAGTGCCCCCCGACTTCACCAGATGACAACATCCCTGTTCACATGGCTTAGTTTGCGAAACGCTGTTCAGCCAGGACCCTGTGTGACCACCATGGGTCACCACAGCAGCTCCATGGGCAGGAGCGGTGGCGACACCCGGCCGCGCAGAACCAGGACAGGCAGAGGGATGTGCATGTGCTGCCATGCACTGCCAGGCCCGGAGCTGGGAAGAGTCCCCCTTCCTCCTGAGATGCAGCCCTGCTGTCCTCCCTCTCACCCCACCTCCCATGCCCACATTGCCTGGAAAACCCACAGACCTGGAAAATGTGCTGCCTTCACACAGGCTCTGCCTCTGCCTTGGGAGAGGTGGCTGAAACTGGTCATTTTTTAAGGGGCTCCCAAGGGATGAGGGGGGCCCAGATTCTGACATACCCCTGGCCACGTCAAAGTCAGTGTTGCCTTGAGGGCAAGCAAGGTGTTCTCTGCATGGGCACTTAGCACCCCACTGCCACTGGATGGTCCAGTCTCCCCTCGAGGAGGAAGTGAGGCTACAGTGGAATGTTCCGAGCTGCCCGCAGAGGCAGGGCTCTCAAGAGGCAGGCCAAGCCCCACTTGTTGGGGGGGGGCAGTGACAGAGAGTATCCCCAGACTTTTGCAATTCCTGGGGCCTCTGGCTGAGACTGGAGAACTCTGTGCTGGCTGCTCAGCCTGGGACGCCACTGCCTGGGACTGTCACGCCATGGTGACAGCAGACATGTTCAAGAGTCCCTCCCCTTCCTCTCCCAGCTCTGACACAAATTCAACAGCCAACAAAGGTGCCATTTAGTGACGACTCTCCTCTCTGAACGGACCCTGTGGTGCCTGGCTCACCATGGGGCTCAGTGTGATGAACAAATGACACAGTGGATGAGCCGTGTCCTCCAGTGGCCAGGACCTGCCTTTCAGACCCTGACCAGCTGGAGGACAGACCCCCATGGCTATGGCCATCCTGGGCCAGACAGCGGAGACACACAAGACAGTGACACTAACTTCACAACTTCTGTCTATACTCAGCGAGGGGAGGGTTAGCTCTCGACATGTGTTCCTCATGGGCTGGGCCTCAGAGCTCACGGTTTGGGTAACAGTGTCTGAGAAGTCTCATGGAAGCCCAGCCTGAGCCCACAGGGCTGGAAGCATCTAAATTATGACTCTTCTCGGCTGGCATTTCAGCCCCTCTCCTTCCTGCTGCTTACTGGTAGTTTGAAGAGCAGCAAACAGGAAAATCAATTTGGTAAGAAGCACCAGTGAGTGATCAATAATAAATGCATTCCTTAGTGGCCAGAAGACCAGAAGGCTTTCCCAAGTGATGGCTTCCCCGGGTTTATCCTTGAATGGTTCTAGAAATTCAGGAGAGGCAAACCCTATCTAGAAGATGAGAGAGGGCAAGAACCTCTAGCCCAGCTCTGTGGACTTCCACCTTTAGGGCATTTGGATTCCCTGAGGGGGCCAGGAAAAGTTCCACGCCCGGATTGTGACGTCAGCCCGTTGTCATGGCAGCGGAGGCAGACATTCCGCGGTGACCTCACTGCAGAACCAGGCAGCTGTCACATGACGCGCGGGCAGGAGAAGGGCCAGGCGACTGAGGGCCACCTGTTAAGGGAACATGGTAGCCGACCCCGCCCAAGGCAGAACCCATGCCTAGAGCCGGCACCCCCGGAGCCCCGAGGGCCACTATAACGTGAAAGGACCGCGCCGGGGTCCACGCGCGGGGGTGGACACCGACTCCAGCTCTCTCCCAGCCCCGAGGTTGCGCCGGGAGCGATGGCCGCGCCCGCGATCCCCCGACCCGCGTCTCCCGAGGCCCCCCGCTTGCAGCCGTGGGTGGGCGGGGCGGCGGGGCCGGGCCCCGAGGGACACTCACGCGTTGCCCACGTAGATCCTCGGGGTGACCTCGTTGCAGGGCTGGCTTGGGAGGCTGTAGCAGCCGCTGCCGTCCGAGAGCAGGTCGTTGAGATCTTGTACCGAGAGCTCGAAGGGGCCCGACATGGCGGCGGCAGGGCCCTGCACGCCGGGGCAGGAGCAAGCGAGGGGAGAGCGGCCGGGTCAGCTGGGCGGGGGCTGGCGAGCCGGGAGCCGCCCCGTCCCGCCCCGGAGGCGGGCCCGCCGGGCGCGGGAAGCGCGGCGCGGGGGCCACGGCGATCCTCCCCGGGGAGGATGCGCGTCGCTGGGCTCCGGCTGCCGCTCTGCCAGACCCCAGGCGCGTGCGGGAGCAGCCCGGGCTTGAGCTCGGGGGCTCTCTCCCATCCCCTGCTCAACGGCCTCTGTGTCTTTGTAAACTGGCAGGTGCGATAACTTTCCTGCCCTGAACCGAAGACAAGGCGCAATAAATGTTCCTATGGTGGGGTACAACCGGGAGTTCCATGGCTGTTTTTGCTTTGTTTTGTTTTTGTTTGGATTACAGGAACCACCAGGTTCTGCTCTAACTCTCCCTGCTTACGCTGGCACTTGTCAGTCTCTGCCCCAAGCCCAGACCTGCTTAAATCCAGGGAATGACTAACAAGGTCAAAGATAACTGGCAGGTGCAAGAACTCTGTCTTCCCTCTCCCCTCTCCTGTCCATATTTATTTGGAAGGCAGGTGGCAGGCAAGAAGAAAGAGATCTGCTATCCACCAATTCATACTCCAGATTAACCACTATAGCCAGGGCTGGGTCAAACTGAAGCTAGAATTCAGGAGCCAGGAGCTCCATCCCACGTGGGTGGTAGGGGCCCCAATACTTAGGCTATCTATCCTCCACGCCTCCCCAGGTGCATTAGCAGGGAGCTGGATCCAAGCAGAACAGCCTGGCGCCAAGCCCATCACCTGCCTTCCACGAAGTGGGTTGAGGGGCTGCTCCCACCAAGGTGCACCTGCTTTCCAGCGTCTTTGACATTCAGCATCCTGCTAAGCACTGTGGGCTCTGGCAGCCAGATTTGGGATTCCCACTCCAGGGGACTAACCTCTCTGAGCCTGTTTCCTGGAACAGAAAGGTGCAGGAAGATAGTAATACTTGAGGTTAAGCATCCCTAACCCAAAAAAACCCCAAATGCTCCATGGTCTAAAATTCTTTGAACACAGAAGTGATGCCATGCTCGGAAAATTCCACACGGAAATGTGACAAGCTGCAGTCAAAACACAGGAAGTTACTGTGGAAAATTATCCTCAGGTACATGTGAAGCAAATGGATGTCATGATTATACTTGGGTCCCCTCCCTAAGACCACTCAGCTTGTATGTGCAAATATTCCACAGTCCAGGGAAATTTAAAATCAGACTCATTTCTAGTCCTAAGCATTTTGGAAATGAGAAGTGAGCCTGGAGCACCTAATTCCTAGGGTTGCTGGAGCGATCAAATGTGGCATTCAAGGAAAGCGCCCGGTACTGAGAGTGCTCACTCTGTCAGTTGCTCCTCTTGCGCACCCACTAGGTGCCACCCTGGCACTGGTGTGGAGATCAGCCTCACTGGCAGCCCACTGGCGCCAGCTGGTGTCAGCGACTTAGCCTTCACTGTGTCTGTAAGGTCAACCTCTCATCCCTTCTCTCAATGGGGTGAAAGAATGTGCATCCCAAAGCCGAAGCTCTCACCTCCTGTTCTCAGCTCTGCTTGGTGCCTGCACAGCTTCATTAAGGTTCCTCATCTACGCAATGAAGGAATTGCGTCTGATTATCAAGATCAGCTTTCACCTTCTCCATAAATGCTTTTCCTTCCTGCACCTGCGTTCCTTCTATGCATTCCAGGCAGGTGGGGGAGCTCCCTTCGCCTTGGCCTTGCCTTTCCTTGGGCCTACGTTAACACTAAAAACAGAAGCCCTGAGGCAGCCATCGTGCTCTGCTCCCTACTCCTCTTCTGAGCCCAGTCCCTGATGTCATAACGGGGTAGCTATGACAACCCGCCAAGAGGACGGCTAAGCACCTCACAGAGGGGCCTGGGTGCCTCATTTCTGAAGTGAGACTAGGAAGAGAAGATGAACAATTCTCTGGATTATCTGGCCTACCCTGTTATCGTCTCTAATCATAGGCAAAGCACAACCTTCAGGAAGAAACTGGACTTTGGCCACTACATATTTCACAAGAATAGAATACAAATAGGTAAGATGGGCTGTTTGGACTGGACGCTGGTGTTCCTAACATAAAGACGTTGATGTAAACCAGACCACTGCACGACACGGTTAATAGGCTGAGCTTAGCCAGGAGCACATTAGACTCAGTAATGGAATGTACCTTTTGCCAGGGAGTTCATCTGATAGAAACATTCATTTTATTTTCATTTTATTTTCTTTTAAAGACTGACTTGAAAGAGCAACAGAGAGAGGAAGAGACAGATCTTTCATTAACCAGTTCATTCCCTAACTGGCCAGGCCAAAGCCAAGAGCCAGGAATTCCATGTGGTCGCCCATGTGGGTGGCAAGCACTTGGGTCATCTTCTGCCACCTTTCCAGGTGCCTTAGCACCAAGCTGGATTGGAAGCAGAGCACCAAGCACACTTGCACCAGCATTTTGTACAGGATGGGATGCTAGTGTTGCAAGTGTGACTTAATTCACTGTGCCACACAACACCAGCTCCAGGACATTGCATTGAAATGTTTTAAAACCAAAGTAAATTTGAGGCTAGAACTTCAGGCAGGTTAATCCTACTGAGAAGGGGTGGGAAAGAGGTTCCTTCATTAGTTGCAAGGGGCTTTCACCTCCACATGTGACTTGTTCTAGTCCTCATCATTCTTCTATTTCTGCTAAGAATGATATCAGATTGAAATTCTAGACCTGGCTCTTAGCTCCTGGCTTTGGATTGGCTCAGCTCTGGCCATTGCGACTACTTGGGAAGTAAACCAGTAGATGGAAGATCTTTGTCTCTACTTTTCTCTGTAAATCTGATTTGCCAATAAAAATAATAAATCTTTACCAAAAAATAAAAATAAAAAAGGAAGAAAGGAAAGAAGAAAGAAAGAGAAATAAAGAAATCTCTGAACTGGATGACGGTCAGAGTTCCACCTCGTGTTCATCAGTCCAGGTTACGGTCAGGCTCTGTGAGTAGGTTTACCTGCGTCTGCACCCTAATGTTGCCCTCTCTTATTCCTCCACTCCAGTGAAACCTACTGTTGATACCAAGCCTCCAGCAGCACACACACACCACATTCTGAAACTGAGCAAACTACAGGTACGTGCTCTGGCCGCGTGCAGGCAGAGTTTACTGATTTTGTTTTAACCTAAGCCCTAAAGAGGTCTGATTTCCCAAAGCCAGCTAGCTGGCCCCAGGACGTGTGGGTATGCCTTCTCCCCATCCGCTTGTCCCTCGACTTCCAAAGCTCGGCCCCCACACTCTCCCGTGTACCCCACACATGCATTCCTGGGTAGCCCTTTCCCAGCATCCCAGGGGAGGGCATGGTCACTGAGCCTCTGTGTGAGAGCCATGCCATCCCTGTGTGGGTGGGGTCTCTTCCCAGGGTGAGCAAAAGAGAATCGACAAGATCGAGTATGAAAACAAGCAACTGTGTCAGAAAATCGCCAACGCCCATCGCGGCCCTGCCAAGGTGGATTGCTGGAACGAGTATTTTTCCAAGAGGTAGCACATTCTCCCCTCATTTTGGTGGGGGCGAGTTAGGGGGTGGCAAGGAGGAAACAAATTTGACTTCCTAAGCTTGAGTTCTAGTGCAAAGTTCTGTTTGGAAGATTTAAGGGAAGTTACCTTGAGGGTTAACCACAGTGATGATGGTAAGGAAGGTGAGAACATCCATAAAGAGACCTTTGTCTAGCTTTAAAGGCGATTTTGATTTTGATTTTCAGCTACAACAAAATTCTACATCAAGTGAATAAGAACAGGCCTGTGGTTCTCACAGGTCATGAGGCAGCCATGGCCAAGGCACAGACCTGGTGAGGTTGCCTCCTGCCACACCAACTGTAAGCTTTGTGTGGAAGAGGCAGGGGGTCTCCCCAAAACCTTGATAAAAGCACTGATCCCTTTGCAGAAGTGAAGACCATATGACCCATGGGTTATGTCCGATCCCCCCGCCCATTTGATGAGGACCAGATCACTTCCCCAGGCCCCTCTCTCCTTACTAACACCATCATGTTGGAGGTCAGAATTTGAGGACACGAATGGTGAAGCCAAGAGGTTCACCTTCAGACCACAGCACTGCAGCTGGGACCAGGACATGGTGTTCCAGACACAAGTCCTGAAAGGGAGCTGCTTATGTAGACAGGAGCAATGCAGTGTGCGTAGGCTCCAGGGAAGTGCACGCCTTGGTGTGGGGGATGGGGAAAGGTGTCAGCGCCTTTCCTGCGTCTGGCATGTCTCAAACCACCTCGAAGGCGGGAGAAAAGAGAGGTGAGCTGAAACCTGCCACTGCTCATTTGTGATTTGTCCAAAAGGAGGCCTTCCCCCGCCCTGATAAAAACCAGAGATTTCTTTAGCCTGGCTTCACATTACACAAATCTTTGGGGAACTAGTGCAGCGTGGTGCCGCCCAAGCTGCAGCCTGGGCAGAATCCCCCAGCGAGCAGCAGGATGAAGAATCACCACCCATAAACATCTGCAAGCGAGTAGCACATTTCTCGGAGGGCTCAGCCCTCATGCTTCTCCCACTCCCACTCAGGACAAGCGCTTTCTGCTTGCATCCACTCAGCGGTTTTGTGTCTTGCAGCTTAAACAGAGAAACAAGGAACCGTGAGCTGGTGAGGATCACCGTGGAGAACCAGGGGATTCTCAAGAGACTGGATGATCGCAAACCCCACTATGACCGCAAGGCATCTGAGCTAGACTGGCAGGCACGTGGGCACACTTGCTGTATTTCCTGTCCGTGTTCAGCCTACACACAGCCTCAAAAGGACCCCTCAGTGGCTGGAGTCAGAACCCACGCATTGCCTCCACAAGCAGAACAAAAACCCACCAAGGCAGACAAAAAGCTAACAGACCATCAAACCAACGGCTAGAGACATCCCAGCTACAAAGCTGTGATGTGTCCATTTTAGAAAACTGGGCAGTGTGTTCTGGTCCCCTAATTCACTGAGGCAGCCTGTGGGGTGAAGGGACTATAACTCAGGGAGTGGTGATTGCTTTGTTTGCTTGTTCTAGAAATGTCCCTTCTGAAAGGAACAGGAAAAAAACCATCGCAGTGTTGAAAAGAACTCCTGTCCCCATCTGGCTTGGGTCTGAGCTGTCCTTAACTTGGGACAATCGCTGCAGCCCAGTACCCTGGCACTGACATAAACCTGTCTGGTTTGTTTTTCTTCTAGAATTCAAGGCGTTATATCAAAAATACTACAAGATATCTTCTCTCCCAAGATGAATAGGTTTGTGTAGCTACATCACATGGTCACAACTGATACCAAAACCCTAAGAAACTCATAAATGGTGAATGAGAGGTCATCCATCCAGGGGCCTTGGCGCTCTGTCTTTCTTGCCTCCATACAAGCAGGAGCTGGTACTGTCTTTGCCGTTGGCTTTGAGGTTCTGTGGGAGACCTGGGGGAAGCAATGGGTTCGGATAAGACAAACAGGATGCCTTGTGGCTTTAAAGTTGTGCTAAAGTCACAATACAGGTCTCTGCCATTATGCAAAAGTACTGTTGTGTAGGCATGTTGTATTCTTTCATATCATCGGGGATGAGGAAGCGAAATGGAGAAATGGACGCCCCAACTTTGCAAAGAATGGGTCTTGTCATCACCCTGCCTGTCATACTCTGCCTGCTGAGTACAAGGTTACTCACCCTCAAAAAAGGCACCAGGGAAGGCCCCCAGAAGCGTAGACTGCTTAGAGTCTCAAGCCGCTTCTGAGGGGCTGGACACTGAAATATCAGGGAACTAGAATAAAACCCAAAACACCAAATGGGGCAGGGAAAAAGAACCAGACCACGAACCTTGAGCATCGTTATTTGGGGCTCTGAAAAAAGAAGTTGTAAGGAGAGAGAGGAGTGCAAGGGAGGGGAGGGATGGTGGGAAGAGACCAAGAGTACCCCTGAAAAAGCTTACCATGGCTAGAAAAGGAGGGGTGTGAGGATTCACCCCAAGTCCAGTGTTGTCCAAACGGGAGGCAAAAACACCTAACAATGTTTAAGTTTGGCGGTCACAGGCAGCACAGGCCGTTAGACCCTCTGTGGCTTCACATGCACGCATCTTCTTTCCAGCTTTCTTGATGATTTTTATCACTGTCTATTTTGAAGAATTTTTAAAAAAAAAGATTTATTTTATTGGAAAGTCAGAATACAGAGAGGAGGAAAGACAGCAAGATCTTCAGTCCAATGATTCACTCCCTAAGTAGTCCCAGCGGCCAGAGCTGAGCCAATCCGAAGCCAGGAGCCTGGAGCCTCTTCCAGGTCTCCCACTCAGGTGCAGGGTCCCAAGGCCTTGGGCCATCCTCAGCTGCTTCCCCAGTCCACAAGCAGGGAGCTGGATGGGGGAAGGGGCCGTTGGGATTAGAACTGTCCCCATATGGGATCCTAGCACATGCAAGGTGAAGACTTTAGCCACTGGGCAACTGTGCCAGGCCCTATTTGAAGAATTTCTAAGGCATGGAGTTGTTTTCAGAGGAGAGATGAAGGGAAAAGTTGCCCAGCACCAGGTCTATTAAAGCCAGCCATGGATGCACAACATTGTCAAAGGTTGGGGGAAATACAGTAGGAAACTGATCAGAATTAACACCACCAGAGAAATGCTGTTCACTGACTCTTCATGTCTGAGTTCAAAAAAGGGCTTTGTGCATAGGCTGTAATCTGTGGTCATTAAACTAAGCGCTTTCATTCTGGATGCCTGATCCAGGAACCAGTGACATGAATGATGTGACTGTGGCCAGCAGACACACAATGTGGCTGCCTGTTTATTTTTTAACATAAACGTATGTTTCCTAAATTTGAAACTTGATCATAAGCTCTTACAGAAAAATTGTAGCAAGACTTTGACCTCATTTACTTTTAGCTATTTCCTAAATATTACAGTTACCATTGAACGGTCTGTGATGAAAGACAGGCAGATCTCACTTCCACAAGGCAAATGGATCAATCTTTCCCTTTTGCTCCTCCTTCCAATCCTGCTTCCTGGGGTTGAGATCTGCAGCTCTTCCAGGCTTTGGGTTAAGTGGATGGTTTCCACACTGAGTGGACTCTCCAGGTAGGCAGTGCACACACAGGGATTCCCTGTCCCTGGATCTACCACTCTTCCAACTTTGAAAATGATCTCGGCCAGTTCATGTTTCACATGCTTCGTCTCTGGGACAGGTAAACCTTTAAGAAGCACAGTATCCCCAACCATGCACTGCTCAAGGGCATCGTGGGCAAAGTAGGTCTGTCTCTTACTGAAGTACTTTAATAAGCAGGGACCCAGCATAAGCGCGGCGACTCTCACTTCAGCAATTTTGGGCATGGCTGTACCAATCACCTTCCCCACAACCCACCTGCCATGGACAGACAAACGGATAACTAACATCAGTGGCTTTGGTCACCTTTCAGGCAGTGGGAATTGCCTGTGGGACTTTAGGCTCACAGCTTGCTGTGGCTGCCTGTTTTTAACACACATTTGAACATAAAATGGTAAAAGCACAATGGGCTTGTATTTAACATATGAGCCCAGCTTGTGAATGACAGGTGGTTGCACTATCTCCTTATAGAGAGTAGAACAGGTGGCAGAGATTACACATCACTGGATCAAGACCAGTAAGTTACATGCTAACATTACTCAATCGGTGCTGGACACTGGTCCTGAAAGAACCAAAGGCAGTGCCTAGATTCACCAGGAGAGTGCCATGATCAACTAGTAATGTCTGTCACAGACGCAGACACTGATGGTGGCAGCACACATGCCAACCTTTTAGTGTTACTGATCTAGAAAATTCCTCTAGAACTCATATCCTAATTACAGACACAGGCAGAGGAGGTTTATTGTGTTTGAAGGCCTAAGGAGACCACGAGGAAGGAACACATCGAGGTGTTTTATGATGACATTTTTTGGCATGGATGACCAGAGTGATGCACTTTGAAAACATGTGGCCCAGGTCCCCAGAGCCTATGTACTGCTAAGTGGGATGGAACTTGGAATTACATTTACATACAGTTCCACGAATCCGCATTGGTAAACAGGTGCAATTTTAAAATGCTGTTGCTGCTATGAATAGTAAACACATCCTTAATGTCCTCTTTGTCTGGGGCTCCGTCCTTCCTATTCCCACTGATCCAGCTGCAGACAGCCTGTTTTGGGAATGAAGAGGCGAACTCCACAAAAAGTAAAGAAACCAGGGATGGCATGATGGCTCTGTTGGCTAATCCTCCACCTGCAGGCACCAGCATTATATATGGGCACGGGTTTGTGTCCTGGCTGTTTCACTTCTGATCCAGCTCTCTGGTTATGGCCTGGGAAAGCAGCTGAGGATGGCCCAAATCCTTGAGACCCTGCACCCACATGAGACCTAAATGAAGCTCCTGGCTCCCGGATTTGGATCAACTCAGCTCCAATAGTCACAGCCTTTTGGGGAGTGAACCAATAAATGGAAGATCTTTCACTGTCTCTACTTATGTTTGTAGATCTACCTTTCAGATAAAAATAACTAAATCTTTAAAAAAAAAAGAAGTAAAATCACATTTGGGAGCTTGCATTCTGGTACACCAGGTTAAGCCATCACCTACAACGCTGGCATCCCTTATAAGCATCAGTTCAAGTCCTACCTGCTCCAGTTCTTTAAAAAAAAAAAAAAATTTTATTGGAAAGTCAGATTTACAGAGAAGAGGAGAGACAGAGAGGAAGATCTTCCATCTGATCATTCACTCCCCAGGTGACTGCAACGGCCAGAGCTAAGCTGATCTGAAGCCAGGAGCTAGGAACTTCTTCCGGATCTCCCACACAGGTGCAGGATCCCAAGGTTTTGGACCTTCCTCGACTGCTTTCCCAGGCCACAAGCAGTGAGTAGAAAGGGAAGTGGAGCAGCTGAGACTAAACCAGCATCCATATGGGATCCTGGTGTGTGCAAGGCAAGGACTTTAGCCACTAGACTACTAGGCCAGGCCCCTACCTGCTCCACTTCTAATCCAGCTCCCTGTCGACTTGGAAAGTCAGCAGAAGATGGCCCAATTGCTGATGAAGTTCCAGCCTCCTGGCCCAGCCTGGCCCAGCCTTGGCTGTTGTGGGCATTTGGGGAAAAGCCAGCAGGTAGAAGATCTTTTTCTCTCGCTATGGCACATTCTACCCATTCCTGTTTTTAAAAATCATGTTGACACCTTGTTCCGTAACGCACATAAGGAGCACTGCTGCCATTCCATCTGGCAGCTGTGTTAAGAGCACCCAGTAAGCAGCACCCACACTCCACTGAGACAGGCAGGAAAGCCCTGGCCCAGGCTCAGCCACTGCCCTGCAGCAGTGTCAGCCTAGTGGGACCTGCCAGCACGGGGCTGAGGCGCCCCCATGTGGCCTCCCTCCCGCTCTGCAGAAGTCTGGGTTTTCCCCGGTGCTTTTGCCCGTGACGAGAGTTGATTCCAGTCTTCCCACTCGTGCTTCCCTGTGCTTTAGCTAGAAAGTTCTGAAGAATATGATCCTGCTGGAGAGGCCCATGGGGTCAGCAAGCTGGAGGGCTGCAAAAGTGTCCTGATAAGCTAGGTGACGTACAAATCTCTACACAGGCAGCAAGCCTCGCTGGCACATCACCTCTCACCTGGCTGCCCTGGCTTCGCACCGACTCAAAATGCTCACATGCATGAGTAGCCGCTTCTCGGTCTCAGCTGTTTTCACCACAGTGCCTACTATTATAAACTGTGCACAAACACCGTCCTTACTTGCATGTCAGTTACTTAGTGGGCAGCCTTGATTAGGAACCATGAGAAGAATGGGTGTGCGTAGTGCTTAAGCATCATCTCGGCCCAGCAGGGAAGCCTAGCGGCTAATGTCCTCACCTTGAACACACTGGGATCCCATAGGGATGCCGGTCCATGTCCAGGCAGCCCCGCTTCCCATCCAGCTCTCTGTTGTGGCCTGGGAAAGCAGTCGAGGACAGCCCAAAGACTTAGGACCCTGCACATGCATGGGAGACCCAGAAGAAGCTCCTTGCTTCAGATCAGCTCAGCTCCAACCATTGTGGCCACTTGGAGAGTAAACCAGGCAATGGAAGATCTTCCTCTCTGCCTCTCCTCCTCTCTGTAAATTTGACTTTCCAATAAAAAAGGAAATGAATCTTATTTTTAAAAAGTCTCTGACATCATGGACTCAAATACCTAGCCCTGCCATCTTTTTAAGCTTTGTATACTTGGCCACATTAAACTCTCATATATTGGGATGATAGCAATCTTTCTTTTTTTTTAAAGATTTATTTTTATTTATTTTTATTATTTTTTCATTGGAAAGGCGGATATACAGAGAGGAGAGACAGAGAGGAAGATCTTCCGTCCCATGATTCACTCCCCAAGTGAGCGCAACGGGCCGATACTATGCCGATCCGAAGCCAGGAGCCTCTTCTGGGTCTCCCACGCGGGTGCAGGGTCCCAAAGCCTTGGGCTGTCCTCGACTGCTTTCCCAGGCCACAGGCAGGGAGCTGGAAGGGAAGTGGGGCTGCCGGGATTAGAACCGGCGCCCATATGGGATCCCGGGCATGCAAGGCGAGGACCTTTAACCACTTGCGCCACCGCGCCGGGCCCAGCAATCTTTTTTTTTTAAAGATTTATATTTTATTGCAAAGTCAGATATACAGATGAGGACAGACAGCAAGATATTCCTTCCGATGATTCACTCCCCAAGTGACCGCAGCAGCCAGAGCTGTGCTAATCCAAAATCAGGAGCCAGGAACTTCCTCCAGGTCTCTCACGCAGGTGCAGGGTCCCAAGGCTTTGGGCTGTCCTCAACTGCTTTTCCAGGCCACAAGCAGGGAGCTGCATGGGAAGTGGAGCTGCTGGAATTAGAACCGGCGCCCATACATGATCCCAGCGTGTTCAAGGCTACTAGGCCATCGTGCTAGGCCCGATGTTAGCAATCTTTTCTACCAGCATGGTGAGTTTACCACACAGTAACAGTGTTGGACACAGCATAAAGACTTAAACACACTGGCTACTCACAAGCAATCAAGCTTTCTTATATATATCCTCTATATGTCACAAATCCACGGTGGCATTAGTCAGTTTCGCCTGGTGACAAACTGTGAGACCACACTCTGAGTCTAGAGACTTTTATTTTGATGGCAATGACTTCTCATGACTTAGATGTAGTTTTGACAGGAGAGCCACCTGGTTTTCCACAACCTAGTGTGACACAAGCGCCAGGAATCTCAGTAAGGGGACAGGCGAGAACCAAGGTCATTGTCAGTAGCTCTTGCTGGTGGACTAGAACAAACCAAAGCCACTTGCGAAACCCAAGTGTGTTTAGAAAGGAGGGCAAGGCAGCCAGATGCCCCCCCAGGGTCCCCGAAGGCACGAGGGCATGGCAGGGCTGCCCAGGCGTTTGCATGGCCGATGACGCTGGTGAGGCATGCCTGTTACCCAGAAACGGCTCACAGATGCTCATAAGCTGAAAAGAACCACCTGTTTCCAGGCAGACCTCATCACCTGCAAAAGGTTGAAAGTCAACACTTCAGTGGTGGAAGACAAAGCAACATCGGCAGAACCATCTCCCTTCTAGAACAATTGAGTTCCTAATAAAGCTCAAAAGAGGAGGCGTCCCTGTGCTCACACAACCAACTGCGGCACATGCACTGCCACCACCACCCCACCCCAAACACAGAGCTGCTGAACTTAGGTACAATCAGGGCCTCTGCTCTGCGATACTTTAATGAAGGAAATGTGATAAGCCCCCCACCCGTCCATCACAGACCCAAAGGGCACAGTGAGGAATAGCCAGCAACAAAACCCACTGACAAACAGGACTTCCCACTTCCAGGCTTCTTGGTGATGGCCTGAAGATGGTGGCAGGGAAGGGACCCGCCCCTCTCTGCACTTGTAACTCCTTGGTGACAAAGGATCAGGAGGCAGGGCTGGCCAATACGCAAGGTTCCCTCCATCCTGCAGTCCTGGGAGATGTTACCTGATCCAACTAACTGGCACCCAGTGCGTGTCCTTGCTCAGCTTCTCCAAGACCCCGTGGAACTGGCTCCAAGCAGCCTGTAGGTCCTCCCTGACCAGCACAGCGTCCACCAGGTGCCCGTAGTGCTGGTCTATGAAGGCGGCGGAGGCGGCCATCTCCTGCTGCTGCTCATCCTGCCAGGAAAGAGGGCAACCTGTAGAGCAGTCCTCCCGCGAGACACAGCCCCGCGTGCTCGGCAACATCCCCACCTGCAACTGCTAACAAGCCTGTGCCTCGTGAGCTCCAACTGTGTACCCAAGGACAGAACGGAATGACAATACCATAACAAGCTTGCAAGAAAGTGGATCAGCAATGGACACGGTCACCATGTGGTCACTCACTCACTGTCCCCCTACCCCCTCCCACTCCCTTCCCAAGACCTGGGAACTGAAAGCCACCGCATGAAGCACTCCAGGCAAGCCTGGATTGGATCTGTGGATGAGGGTGGGTGGGTATGTGTGTGTGTGTGTGTGTGTGTGTATCAGGATCTGTTAATGAGGGTGTGTGTGTGTGTGTGTGTGTGTGTGTGTGTGTATCAGGATCTGTTAATGAGGGTGTGTGTGTGTGTGTGTGTGTGTGTGTGTGTGTGTGTGTGTGTGTGTGCATCACAACTCCTGCCCCGAGAGGTCTGCCACGGACGTGGTGCTGGTGGGCCATACTGTAATTCAGTGTATTTGGGTGAAATAAAAATGAGAGAACTATAAAAGACGTTCACGACAGAAAAGCCGGGCCAGCGTTTCTAGAATCACCGGGGACAAAGGGGGAAGGGAGGGAATAAGGAATTCCAACGACCTTCCGAAGACAGCTGGACTCACAGAACTTGCATTTTCTTTCAGTTTCCTCAATTGAGGCTCAACGCGAGCTCAGCAGAGTAACTGAAGAAACTGCGGGAACAACCCTAGTCAAGTCCTCTGTTTCCTTAGGGTCCCTGGCCTCATTACTCAGATAGCTTTGCTGCCACCTAACATCAAGGGATAGGCAGCCACATCTGTCTGACTCAACCTGGTGACATTTGCTTCTCCATTCGAAATAAAATCTATGGGGTCTACCAGATGGACCTGCAGGCTGACAGCCCAGCAGACTTAGAAGAAAGGAAAGTGACAGTGACATTACACACCGCAGTTGATCGCTGGCAGTCACTCCCCTCTCTTCCTATGCCTTCTAGTCCTTTGTCACCCTCTCTGCTTCTGGGGGCTCAGGCTCCTCGTGCTGCTAGGGGGAGAGGGGTGACTTCTGTCTTGCCCACACACTTCCCCCACTACTCAAAACATTCCCTCCTCTTCTCTCAGTCGCCAGTCACAGGCCAACATTACAGAAAACATCAGCAACTTCATGATATGAGGGCTGCTGATCTAGGAAGCAGGGTTTTTTAAGACTGATTTATTTAGGGCCTGGTGTGGTAGCCTAGCAGCTACAATCCTTTGCTTGAACATGCTGGGATCTCATATGGGCACCGGTTCTAATCCTGGCAGCTCCACTTCCCATCCAGCTCGCTGCTTGTGGCCTGGGAAAGCAGTCGAGGACGGCCCAAAGCTTTGGGACCCTGCACCCATGTGGGAGACCCGGAAGAGTCCCTGGCTCCTGGCTTCAGATTGGCTCAGCTCCAACTGTTGGGGCCACTTGGGGAGTGAATCATCAGATGAAAGATCTTCCTGTCCCTCCTCCTCTCTGTATATCTGACTTTCCAATAAAAAATAGAATGAATCTTTAAGAAAAAGATGGAATGATTTGAAAGTGAGAGAAGAAGAGACAAAGAGGGAAAGGTATCTTCCATCTGAGGGTTCACTCCCCAAATGGCCTCCAAAGCCGGAACTGCTGAGAACGGCCTCCATCCGGGCCTGCCACACGGGTATCATGGGCCCAAACACTTGGGCCATATTCTGCTGCTGTCCCAGGTACCCTGAGCAGGAATCCGGGGTCGGAAAGGAGCAGCTGGGTTGAGAGCCAGTGCTACAATACAGGATGCCGGCATCCAAGGTGGAAGACTAAGCCGCTACGTCACAATACTGGCCCTGAGGCCCAGTAAAAACCCAAGAGAAGGCGGAGATCATGAATGCTCCTTCCTTCTTCCCCTCCAGCAGGGGACAAACTAGATATAACGGAGAGACGCTGCCCAGTTGCTGCTCTGTCCTGCAGGGTGTCTGTCACACTCAGGAGTGTGCTGCAGCCTGCATGTCCCATCTCACCTTCTCCACCCCCAAACACGTGCCCTCTGTTTCCTCCAGGCACCCGGACGGAAGCTCTGAGCTTGCTGAGAAATCACAGAAGGAAAATGCCTGCCTCAGTTTCCCTAGTGAACACTTGGAGCCAGAAAGAAGTGCAGGAACTCTCCAGTGGTGTGAAAGCAGCCCTCGGGCCCAGAAAGATTTTCCACACCACCTGCAGCTTCAGCAGGTCCTGAAGTCCCCCAGGCTGCCCCTTGTCCCATGCCAGATCAGCTGGAACATCAGAGGCAAAAGTTCCACCAGCCTACAGGCAGCAAAGAAACGCCCAGGGAATGTGCCCAACAACTGGTCCCTAGCACAGGTCCCTGACCTGGACCTTGGAAGTCATACAGTGGACAAATGCTTCCTGTTAAGCCAAGCCAGGCCCTTGGGAGAGATTTCTCCAAGCGTGGCCTGGGGTCTGCCCACATGCTTCTAAAGTCACAGGAAAGGTGGGTGCAGGAAGCAGGCATGCCTCGAGGCCGGCACAATGGCTCACCTAGCTAGTCCTCTACCTCTAAGTTCAGCATCCAATATGGACACCAGTTCATGTCCCTGCTGCTCTACTTCCCCTCCCTGACTGTGGCCTGGGAAAGCAGGGGAGGACGACTCAAAGCCTTGGGATCCTGCAGCCTTGGAGACCCAGAAGAAGCTCCTGGTTCCTGGGTTTGGGTCAGGACAGCTCTGGCTGTTGCAGCCATTTGAGGAGTGAACCAGCAGATGGAAGATCTTCCCTCTCTCACACACCCTTGCTCTCACTCTGTCTCTTCCTCTGTCTGTGTAACTCTTTCAAATAGAATACTTTTTTTAAAAAAATTTTATTGTAAAGTCAGATATACAGAGAGGAGGAGAGACAGAGAGGAAGATCTTCTGTCCGATGATTCACTCTCCAAGTGACTGCAACAGCCAGTGCTGCGCCAATCCAAAGCTGGAAGCCAGGAGCTCTTCCGGGTCTCCCACATGGGTGCAGGGTCCCAAAGCTTTGAGCCATCCTGACTGCTTTCCCAGGCCACAAGCACGGAGCTAGATGGGAAGTAGAGCTGTCAGGATTAGAACTGGTGCCCATATGGGATCCCAGCGTGTTCAAGGCGAGGACTTTAGCCACTAGGCCATTGCGCCAGGTCAGAATAAATTTTTTTTAATTAAAAATAAGTAGAGGCCCAGCATGATAGCCTAGTTGCTAAATCCTCACCTTCCATATGTCACAATCCCATATGGGCACTGGTTTGTATCCTGGCTCTTCCACTTCCTTTTTACTTCCTCCCTCCACTTCCCTGCTTATGGCCTGAGAAAGCAGTAGAGGATGGCTCAAAGCCTTGGGACTCTGGGTGAGAGACCTGGAAGAAGTTCCTGGCTCCAGGCTTTGGATCAGCTCAACTCTGGCCATTGTAGCCACTTGAGGAGTAAATCAGCAGACGGAAGATCTTTCTGTATATCTGCTTTTCCAAAATAAATAAACAAAACAAATAAGTAAATCTTTAAACGGGGCCAGCTCTGTGACATATTGGGTAAAGCCAACACCTACAGTGTCCTCATCCTGTGCGAGTGTTGGTTCAACTCCCAGCTGCTCCACTTAAGATCCAGCTGCCTGCTGATACGCCTAGAAAAGCAGCTGTAGATGGCCCAAGTGTTTGGGTTCTTGCTCTCACAAAGAAGACTTGGAAGAAGCTCCTGGCTTCTGGCTTCAGACTGGCCCAGCCCTGGCCATGGTGGCCATTTGGGGATTGAATCAGAGGAGGGAAGCTCTCTTTCTTTCTGTCTCTCCCTCTCTTTGTAACTCTAGTTTTCCAATAAATACATAAAAAAAAAAAAAGCTAGAGCATATCTTCAGGATCTTGAATTGGACAATAGTTTGTTAGATATGACATGAAAATCTTAAATTTAAAAAAGATAACCAAAACTTGACCACAACTGTGAAATTTTTTGCTTTAAAATTTGTGGGAGAAAATATTTGCAAGACACATAGCTGATAAGGGACTTGTGTCCAGAATATATAAGGAATTCTTAGCACTCAATAATAAATGATTAAATGTTAAGATGGATAAAGTGTTTAAATACACATTCTTGCTCATCCCACTCTCACAAGGTTTCTAAGTAGCTCTGCACCCAGGCTGATGGTCTCCTTGGAACTGTCTTAAGGGGAAAATTTCTGATGTCCCCATGAATCTCATCATCCTAGGTGACTGATGGACAGCTGTGACAAAACAGGTATGATCAAGGACTTCCAAAGTCCACAGTGGCAGGGAGCTTCCCTCGGAGCTGGGTGAGGGTGGGGGCACTGAGGGCCTCTTCCCAATGGAGCTGGCCAGACTGGAGCCTCGGACTCCCTCATACCAACTGCCAGCTCATTGTCCTGCCTGACTGTGGAGAAAGATGAGTCACCAAGTCTCCATGTCAAGCGACAATTCTGCCAAACACCTAGGCTCAGGGTGGGGGTCCTAAGCACTGTGGTGGTGAGAGCAATGCTCATTTAGACACACGCTGAAGTGGCTCACCCACTGGCAAGCCCTCTGATGGACCCTCTGATGGCTGGAACTGGTTTGAAAGCAGTGACCATCATCTTGTCAGCTGGCAAGACATGAAAAACAGCTCTGGGTTTGCCCTGGAATTCCACAGCTGAGTGTGTGTTTGTCACACTCAGAAGAGGGCTCCCGTCCTGGTCCCTTCTTAGGGAAAAAGGGAGGGGAGGGTGGCTAAGTGCAGGCAAAGCCACACTGCCTGGACTGGGAGGCCTTCCCGCTCTGTGACCATGCTGCCTGGGTCCTGGCAGCAGGCGACATGGACAGATGGTCTTGGCGTGCAGAAGGCCATCCTGGCTCCCTCCTTGGCTATGAGTACATGTGCAGCCCAGCATTCCCGGGTGCAGCCCAGCATTCCCGGGTGCAACCCCTTTTGAGTCCCCAGGGAAAAAAATTTTTAAAAAGCAAGCCACATGCAACTCACTAGCAGGACCGCTGTGTCCTCCCGAGCTGGGGACATTGGGGGCGTCTTCCTTTGCTCCTGAAGGGCAGGCCTCACAAACACAACGTAGGGCTTGAACTCGGAGGTCCTCAGCCGTTTGAGAGCCTGAGAAAGTTGGAACATATCACAGACGCAAAGCTTCCTGATATCAAAGACACTTCTGCAGAGCTTCCTCCCATAACCTCCAGGGCAAAGGGCCTTAGGTCACTGACCCTACAGTGGACTTCGGCAACTCATTTTCTCATCCTCCATTTGGACCATGAACCCAGCTGGTCCTGAAGGCTACTTGCTGAGAGCAGAAGGTTCCAAAGCCTGCGTTCAGGGTACCTGATGCCTCTCTCAGCCCTCCACTTCCAATTAACCTTTTCTCCACCTGCCAGTTCCAGACGCACGGGGGAAGGGAATTTAATGTGCATCCAGCTGGCCAGCAGCACTCTGTGTGAATGACACGCAGGAAAATCTGTGCCTTTACACAGGCCTCCTCCAGGTTCCCAAAGAGGACAAGGTTTGCAAGGCAAATGATGAACTTATCAAAGAGACCATTTGGATATGAAAAGCACATACCCTTCATTAGTGCATTTTATCCCTAATGCAAAGACCTCCGCTTGGAAATATTGGTATTAAACTGCTGTTTACATTACCTGTATCCCCCATCCCCACAGGAAAAAAAAATCAATAAAATCACTTTAAAAAAAAAAAAAAAGCAGCTGACATTTAGCCATTGCACGTTGCCTCCTAGCTCCCACCAGGTCCCAGCTGGGGAAGGCGTGCGCACGCAGACACAGCATGTTCTGTGCACCACATTTCCAGTGCACTTGGAGAAAATAAAGCCTGCAGTGGATATCACAAAGTTAGAGCTCTGTTCCTCCAAAGCAGGAGAAAAAAAAATCCCCAGACTGAGTTCAAAGCTTGGGAGTTTCTCTGAAAGTCAAGGTTAAAAGATGGTGGGGTTCCTGTGGCGCACAGCAGGCTGGGTGTGCAGAACTGGCTACAGTTTTGAAGCTCTGCACAGGGCCAGCCTCCCTCCCTCCCTCTTCTGCTCTTTCAAACAACTCGGCTGCCTCCTTCTCTGGCGACTCCCTGAGCATGAACTTCACCCGTCCCGGCAGGGGAGGGGACCGTCTGACTTGGCCTGGGTCACAGTAGCCAGCACCGCCTGCATCTACTGTGTGAGTCGCTGCCCGCAGGGGTTACTGCCTTGGGCCTGTTGTGCCACCAGAGGGGCCACCCTCTTGGCATCCAGTGTGGTGCCTAGGGTTAGAGATGCACCTGCGGATACAAAGCTTGCACTTAGTTTTCCCCAGGAGAGACCGGAGAACAATGCCACACCCAGAATTCTGCACGGTTACCATCCCCTGGGCTAAAAATCCCTTCAACTGGAAAGCCCCAAACAGCTCATGAACTCACTTCCGGGTCCACGTCCACCAAACAAACTTTGTTTTTGGCCATAACCGCCTGAATGGCCTCCAGGCTGGTCCCGTAGAGGTTGTCCTGGTATTCCCCGTGCTCCAGGAACCTGAGACGCAATCAGAGGGGGAAAGACCGTGAACCTCCCCCAAACTGACAAAGGAAAAGACTGCCCGGCCACGGCCATCCCAGGAGCTAGAGAGAACGGGCTGGACACAGAGACACGAGGCCCGCTATCCCGCAACCTACTTGTTGTGTTGCACGTCGGCCTCAAAGGCTTGTCTCGAGACGAAGTGGTATTCGACCCCTTCCTTCTCATGGCTCTCCCGGGGCCTCGTGGTGTCTTGGAAAGAAAGAGCGAGAACTGGGCAGAGAAGTCCTGGTATAGGGAGTCCCCTGATGCTCTAATGACGGGGTCACCTGTTCGGCAGTGGTGAAGCATGGTGCTTGGGGGCCTTGGCTGGCGACAGTAGAGCTGGGGAGCTGGCTCACACCAAGCTCCTCCCCTCATCTACACGGTCCCAGTGACGCTGTGGTTTTTAGAGAATGATATACAACCTGCAATCCTCGCCTCTATTTTCTGCATTGCTTTTCAGTTTTGAGGACAAAGGGGCCACAACCACATGTGACCCTGCTGTGGGCCTTTCACTCATTACCCTGTTTCTGTCAAAGGAGCTGTGACAACAGCCAGCTGTGGTGAGTCTGCTAAGTGTCCACACTAGGGCTGGGACACGCATTTCCGGGGAAGGCTGGCTCCCAGAGGCAGTCCTTCCCCCAACACCAGGGCCCAGTCCACGACCTAAGCAAAGCTTCAGAGTGGTCCCAGAACACTCCGGAAAGGCCCCATTGCTGCTACCATAGCATCCTCTCTTGGCAGCACCAGTCACACAGCTTCCACTTCCTGATAGCAGGATCCATAGTGACTCCCAGAGAGGAATGGGCAGGAAGTGGTGGCAGCAGGGAGAGAGCACAGTGTGACCTCATGAAGTGATCAGGGGCTTCAGCGTGGCCAACTGTGTGACATTGGGTGGGTTACTTACCCTCTCTGATCCCTCCCTCAGTGGTACCTGAAGAGCTAGTCAAGTTACTGCACATAGAAGCTCTGGAGGAAAGCATGGCACTCAACCCTCTCCTCTTCATCCTCCACTTTCTCCACTTCCCTACTTTCAATAACCAGGGTCCCTGCCCGCAGGCCTGGCCACGGAGGGAAGCAGGAAGCCTCAGGAACTGGCAGGAGTGGCATCTTCCAGCCACCCTGAGAGGCTGGCACCCAGCTGCCAGGGACAGCCTAAACTAGACCAACCCCTGGGCTCCCCACATCCCTGCACTGCCCTTGGAAGTCACCAAGGCACAAAAATCAATCCTGTCATTCTGAAGAGGAAGTTGGAGCACCCCCTACTGGGGGACCCCATTGGGGTCAGACAGAGACTGTCACATTGGCCAGCAGTGGACTCTGGACTCACGGCCCAGTCCAGCCAGGAACCACGCACACAGTCCCCTTGCTTCTGTCCCAAAAGGTCCTAGTGGGCACCAAGAGTGTTACTGCCCATCATACCTGGGTCTCACAATCTGCTACAGCAAGTAGTGCCTGGGATCCAAAGTAAAGGTTAGGATGGACACAGGGAATCGAGTTACTATGAAGTATTGGTGAGTGCACACATATGCAAACAAGCACATATAACACACATATGCAAACACACACACACGCTCTCTTACGTGGAACAGGAACGCCAAAGTGCTGTGGGTCCTCGGCCACCACCTTTTGCTTCAGCTCGTGCACTCGGGCTCCCAGAGACCCTGGGAAACACAGGGAACGCAGGCTGACCAGGGTCCCCACAGAGCTCCCTTCCCTGCCCCTCCAGGATGTCACTTACCAATCAGAACCACCAGGCGGGGCCGCTCCCCGGGCTGCTGCTGGTACCTGGCCACCTCCTCATAGGTCAGTAGCTCCGGAGCCTCAGCTCCCATGGACGGCTTCCCCTCCTGGGAACTCCCAGGCCTCTCCCGACAGCCCAGGCGGAAGCTCCTCCGAAGGCCAGCTTGGGGGAGGGATAGAGGGACACCACTGACATTAACCCCAGGACCTCCCAGTAAAGGTTTCCTCCATTGGTCAGGTCTAGAGATGGAACCAAGTCCTGCTGATCCCTTCCAACCTCCTCCTGCTCCAGGAAAGGGCTGTGCAAGAAGCACAGCAACACCAGGGCCCAAGGTCACGGTTTTACTTGGCACACGGCTGACCTTGGGCAGATCTCTCCATCTACCTTGAGCCTGGGGTCCCTTAGCTACAGAATGACAAGGGAAACCCACCAAGGCCTAGATCAAATCCTAGCCGAGGGTGGGAGGGACGCCTAACAGATGATCATATTTTAATAAAGCATATGACACTACTGGAATTTGATCACCATCCTGAAGTTATGTCACTTGTCCTCGTCTTTAGGACACACATGCTGTTAAGAGAAGGGTGGCTACCACTGACTCTCACGTGACTCAGGAAAAGACTGTCCCTTCAGCCGCCTTCTCTGTAGCTTCTAAGGGTTGGACACCACCAATAGCGGATGGAAAATATCTGGGGGTAAGGATGGGGCTAGATTGTGATTGGGCCAAGCACATACAGATTCCCGCACCCCCTCCCATTTTTATCAGCACTACAATGTAAGAGCTACACGATGCAGAATGTAAGGGGTTCTGCAGCATTTAACAGGGTTAGGGACCATAAGCAATCTAGAGATAGTTTAATGGAAATGGGAGACTGGGTATCAGTTATGTGCAACTATTACATCATTTTGTACAAGAAATTCAAGCATCATGGGAGATCCTGGAACTCGTGCCCAGGGACATGGAGGGGAGGGAAGGGAACAAACGATAAAGCCACTGGGGTAAGCGTTAACAAGTAGTGTACCTGGGACCAGCGGATAAGGGAGTTCTTTGTACAGCTCTTACAATTTCTTTGTAATTTTGAAATAACTTACAAATAAAAGCTTACTCTTTTTTTTTTAAGCCCATCTCTAAAACTTTTGGGGGAAAAAATACGGTGACATTTTTAAAAATGACAAATCCTTGGAGACCAGTAAAAGGCTCCGTCACCGTGGTGGCAGTGTAGACAAGGAAAGAACTCCAGTTCAGACGGCGAGGGGGGATGGACACCTGCTGCAGCTGCTAAGCACTTGAGACTCCAAGAGATTGGCTTAGATCCTGCTGTTTTGCTCCAGAGCCCACTTCTGCTGAGTCATGCTGGGGCAAAGCTCAAGTGGACACCCTGACTCTGCAGCCCCGGGTGGGCAGCAGGCTGCAATACGGCTGTAAGGGGAGGGGTCAGCGAGAGCCCGGCTACTCACCCACGTAGTGCCCTCTGAGATAGCCCTCACAGTCGCAGGTCTCTGGGAAGCAAACAGAGGGCAGGAGGTTAGAGTCACACTGCATCACCCCTGGCTAGGGGAACTAAGCCCCTGGCCACCAGGCAGACCCCCAGATGGAGCCTCAGGGCAAGCTCAGAGGTCACATGTTCTGGACAGCCCACAAAAACCAACTCTTTTCTGCCTGTGTGTCCATGCTCAGGACCCCTGTAGCCCCGCCTGGAAGAGGGAGGGAGGGCGGGGCGGGGCTCTGGGCTGCAGGTGCTTTCCAGCGGAAATTCCACTCAGGCAGCCCCCGCCCTCCAGTCTGCTGGCCACTCGGTCAGTCAAGCTGAGCCTAGGGTGGCTGAACCCTGTGGGTCAGCTAGGTGGAGAAGAGACCCTGAGTTCCTGTCCCCATGGTTCTGGATGCTTCAAGGACTGAGCCAAGCTGAATGGCAGCCCTGGGAGTGGGACGCAGCCACCAGTGGGGGCTGGAAAATGAGTGTCTCCAGGCCAGATCATGCCATGAAAAGGGGCCTCTGTCCATATGCACAGGGGACAAACACCGGCCTACCTTGGTCACAAGGCTGGTCATCTGCGGTGTGCACAAAAGACAGATGGAGTGGTGTTAGCGGAGGGGAACGGGAAGCCCTACAGCTGAGAAGCGGCCATGGCCCCCGGCGCCCAAAGAGCCTTCCATCTGTCCCTCTGCTCTTCCTCCAAAGCTGTAATCTGTGCTGTGCATGTTATTAAATCCCATGTCCTGCTCTAATTAGTCTGGCTGTGTGCATCTCATTAGTGGCCCAGAGCCAGCCAGCTCATTGCCAGGATGGTCGGGGGGAACATCAAGGCCTGTCCCTTGCAACTGGACAGCGAGCAGGGAAAGGTACCCACCCTTGGCAATGGCCAGTGAAGCTTCTCCCTGTGGTGAGAATACAACCCACTCACCCTTGTCTGGGCCAGGGACCTGCCGGGCTCATGCAGACACCACAGAGTGGAGCAGAGTGAGGCAGCCCAGCAGCCAGCTACGCTGCAGCCACCATTCCCCTGCTCAGAACTCACGGCCACCAGGCCACCTGTATTAGAAAGGCCCTGGCAGCACAGCCTGCAAGAAAGCGTCTTGGACAATAGGTCTGGGAGACCCCAGCCCAGCTCTCTTCGCTGGACTTTGCCACACATGGGGCAGGCTGCAGACAAACACAGCCACTCAGGAAAACTTGAATTTCAAGTACACAAGAAATGTCAGTATAAGTATATCCCAAACACTGCGTGGGATATACTTACTCTGAAAAACAAGTCTATCTGAATTGCAACTCGAACTGGGTTTCCTTCGTTGGTATCTGAAAGGACAGTCACTGGATCCTTCTACTCTCCCTGTCAGTGGTCTGTCAGTTCCAGAGACAGCCCCTTGGGAATCGAACAGAAGCTCCCTCTGGGCCCCTCAATGCAGAGGCTCCCTCCTCAAGGAGCAACTGCCCCTACCCATCCACCCTACTTCTCCTCCTATCAGCACAGATGGGACCCCAGTGTCCCCTCCAACCCAGCGCCAGTTCCCAGGTCCCAACCCCAGCCCCTCTCTGCCCATCTACTCACAAGGGGGCTTCTTGAGACTCTGGGGACTGGGTAGGGTGCCCGTGGCTCTCCGGTAGCTCAGTCGCCTGTGGAGACACAAGAGGGGACGTCCCGGGGCACTGGGTCAGAGAAGCAGCAGAAGAGAACCTTCTAGAATGGAGAAAGTGGAGACACCCTAAAGGTGCATCTAGAGTATCATGAAGTCATTTATCTGTGACCCTTCCTCTGAGAAGCTCTCCTGGTATGTGGGATGGGCAACACCCCACTACCAGCTCCTCCACAACAGAAATCGTGGGGTCCCAGCAGCTCCAAGACAACAACTGTAGCCCCACTGGATTCACACCAAACTCTGCCTGCCAGGGAAGGGATGCGTGTTCCCTGTCCCACACACAGAACTGTCCAACACATGACAAGTGTCAGGTCACACCGTGGAAAGCACCCCCAGCTGTTATTTCAAGTTTTTTTTTTTTAAGCAAATTCTGCATACAACACTCAGATAAAAAGCACAGGACGGGTACGAATGATGCCATCAAGATGTGAGCCATCCTTGCCCTCCTCGTCCAATCAGAGCTTCACAGCCCCTGCCTAGGGACTCAACCAACCTCAGATCACAACCATCCAGGAAAAAATAGAACACACGTATAGACTTTTTCCTCATCATTATTCCCTAAATAATACAGAATAACCATTTGCAGGATATTTGGATTGCATGAGATCAGCTAAACAGCCTAGAGGCGGTTTAAAGAGTGTGGGGGCGGGGGTAAAGGAGATTATGCAGATACTGTGCATTGCATAAAAGGGACTTGAGCATCCATGAGCTCTAGTGTCCACCAGGGGTCCCAATCCCCAAGGACACCAAGGGACAACAGTAACCACAAACTTAATAACAACAACTAGAAATCCTGTCTGTAGGTTAAGTCTTAGACAATTATCACAGGACGGGAAGAATAAGTTCAAAGCCCTTAGGTACTCACCTTAAGCAGCAACACGGAGCAGGCTCCCCTAGCTGTAGCGGCAGAGACCAAGGTCGGTGCCCAAGTCTCTGGCCAGCGTGGGGTTATCCCAGGACAATACACCCCAAAACCCACCTCTCCTGGAACTGCTTGGAGGGGATGAGGCCGGCTCGAAGGTTGGTGTCCCCTACTCGCTTGGCCTGCCACCATGTGGGGTCATCCTGGCTCACCACCTCCAGGACCTGCCTTCGCTGGAAGGGCAGGCCTGCCTCCTGGCAAGGGATGGCACGGTCCTCCCGAGGGTTGTAGTGGAAGAGGGCCCGCATGAACACCTGTGTGGTAAAGGCAGTAACAGTTTCTTTGCCGAGGTCAGGTGGGGCTTCTCCCTTTATCTCCCTCCTTACCCCAGATACACACACAAAAAAAATGTGGGAACAATGGTATTACCCACTTTCCTGCAACCCTTGACCCTCTGTGCCCTAATCAACTATGCAAAGAATATCAAAATAAAAGAAAAAGCGAAAAAAAAAGTTTCTTTGCCACCATATATTATAAGGACAGACCCCTCATCCAGGCCCAGCTGCTCCCAGGTTCCTGAGAGTTCAGGAAAGAATCCTCGTAGGTGGCCAGTCAGGTCACACCTCAGGTCAGAAAAAACAGAGAAGGAATAGCCTGAGGAACAGCTGATTTGTCCTCCAGGAAAATTAAATTCAACAGCGCCAAGCAAGAGCCTTTGCAAGCTTCACCTGTGGCCACATGCACCTGCCCAAGGAATACAGAGCATAGGCTGGCCATTACGGCCATTTGGGCAGTGAATCAGAAGATGGGAGACCCCCTTAGGTACATGCAGACAGATGCAGCTGGAGCAAGCCCCCAGCCCCGGCCAGGGAGCTGTAGCTTCGGAACCGACACCCATCGCACGTACCTTGCTTTCCTTGAAGCGATCTTCCTCCTGTGTTGCCGGGATGATTTTGAGGGTGATGGATCCTTGCGACTGGGCCTGCCAGAGACAGAGCAGAGGTTGGTCACCTTCCAGGTCTGACCTGCCAAGTGCCCAGCCTCACTGCTGAGGTCTAAAGACCCAGGTTCAGAGAATGAACTACGACACAATGGGTTAAACACTCACAGGCATCCCCTAGGGGTGTCAGGCTGCTCCAAGTCTCATCCAGCTCCCTGTTAACATGCCTGGGAAGGCAACAGGATGCCCCCAGTGCTTAGGTCCCTGCCATTCACGGAGGAGACCTGGATGGAGTTCCTGGCTCCTGACTGCAATCTGGCCCAGCTCAGACCATTGCAGCCAACTTGAGGTAAGGATGGAAGGGGAAATGGGTAAACCAGAGGATGGAAAATCTTTCCTTCCCTCTCTCCCTCATCCATTCCCTTCCTCTCCCTCTCTGTGACTCTGCCTATCAAATAAAAAAATAAATCAATCTTGAAAACTTAATAGAAAATGGAAGTAAAAGATTAAGTTAAAATAGATCAATGAAATTGATCTTTAGAATGCAGCCTCCTGCCCACAGCCCACCCTTTCAGGAGTGCCCCGACTGAACCAACAAACGCAAACCTGTGAGAGCCAGCATGAGCATGACCATGGGACAAAGGGATGGGAGAGTCAGGTGCGAGTTCAAGGACACAGTGCACCAACTCTGCCTCCTGGGCAGTGGGGGTGGGGAGGGTGCCTAAAAAGCCCTTCCTGTGGCATCTTTCTGGGAGGTCCCCCTCCCTCCGCGGGACAGAGACTTTGTCCCAGCACCAAGGATCCTGTCATTCCAGGAGGGTCAGCTTCTTGGGGGGTCTCTGGCCTTGCACTGCTATACAGAAGGTCAGCTCATTACTTGGGAACACAGGCAGTGAAGGCCAGCAGCAGGGAAGGAGCCCTCGTGCCACGACCCAGAAGGGCCAGGCTGTGGGTAGGATGGGGGCTGCAGCAGGACGAACCTCTTCCCATGCAGTGGGAGTCAGCAGAAAGCACCAGGTCACAGGAGACCAAGCTATGACAGGGGGCCTCTTCCCTACTTCCATGTTGATTCACCCCCATGCACAGTGCACTGGGCAGACCACCTTCACCCCAGCATTCACAAGCCCAGAATCCCCAAATGTGGAGAGTGCCTTATCCTTTTCTGAGGAGCTGCGAGTCCTTTGTCCTGCTTCACAGGGCAGAGAACTGCAACCCAGAAGACTGGATCACTTGTCCAAAGTCATGCAGCTACAATGAGGCACAGCCAGGATTCAAACCCAGGACCCAGTAGGAGAGGGACCTGGGAGTAAGGAGAAGGCTGTACTGAGAGCAGGTGTCCTGCTGCCCCCTGACCCAGCTACCAAGACCACCTGGCAGACCACCTGGCCTGCAGCCCCTTCCTTGTGGACACAGTCAAACCAAGGCTAGAAACTGCCTGGCTCTGGGACCCTTGCTCTGGGTCTCTGGGAGACCCGTCCCCACCCCAGCAGCACATGGCACCCACCAGAATCTGGCTGATTTCGTCGGGCCGCTTGTGCAGGACTGCAACCCCGTTCACTTCTCGGAGCTCGTCTCCCACGTGGACTAAGCCTGGCAGACACGGAAGCCGACCATGAGCTGGGGAGCTTGCAGCTCTGGACACCGCCAGCGCTTGCCTAAGGGTTCCCATGCCGGGCCAACTCCAGGTTAAAAGAGGAGGGTGTAGGGGAGGACCATCTGAGTCCCTGCATGCTGGACACCTCACTCAGCATGGAAGTCTCACCACCACCAGGGGACATCCCCAGTTTACAAGCTGGCAGCTAACGCCCAGGCACACAAAGCAGCTTGCCCAAGGTCATAGGGTTACAAAATAACAGAGCCTGAATTCAACCCCAGTTCCTGCAGTGTAGGAAGTCTCCTCTATGACCTCTGCTCCTCCAACATCATTAATTCTCACCCACTCCACAGACACACTCCAAGAGCAGCCTTCTTAAATCTCCACAAAGAAACCTAAAGGCATCTCTAAGGGGGCAGCACTTGGCGTAGCTGGTTAAGCTGCTACCCTTCATGTCAGCATCCTATATAAGTGCCATTCATGCCCTGGCTGCTCCACTTTTGATCCAGCTCCCTGCTAACACACCTGGGAAAACAGCAGAGAATGACCCAAATCTTTAGGTCCCTGCCACCCATATGGGAGACCCTTGGCCTGGCCCAGCCTCGGCTGCTATGGTCATTTGGAATGTGAATCAGCGGATGCTGCTATGGCTCCCCAGCCCCACCTGTCTCTGCCAGGACCCTGGGGCAGAACAGGCACCCAGATCTGCTGAGTCAGACTGCGCATGACCAAGGGGCTCCGGGGACTCCTGTGCTTATTAGCATTGGAGAAGCACTGGTTCAGGATCCAGTCACCAGGGTCCCCCAGACTTGGGGATGCACACACACACCAGCAGGCTTGCCTCCTGGCCTTGTAGCTCTTCCACATCAATGATCAACAACCTGTTTTCCACTCGGATGGATCTGGGACACACAGAGCCTCCCTTTGGCAAGAGCAGCTTGAGAAAGCAAGTGGGGAGCAGGACAGGACAGGAGACCCAGGGAGGGGGCATCCTGCCCCTGGGGACCCCCTAACAATTTCAGGCTCTGTACTCATATTCATCATCATTGGGCTAAGCCAGTGCATGAACCCTGCACTCTGTCCCTGTACTTTCTATTCAAGTTCCCCGAGTGTGGGAAGCAGATGGGCACTGCAGCCCTAATCCCATAAATCAAAGCACCTCCCAGCCAGGTGACAGGCTGGGAGTGGGGCAAGGGCACCCTAGCAGCAAGGCAGGGAGGCTCGGGGACCTTGGCTCTTGGTCCAGCCAGGCCAGCACCACCTTGCCAGCTCTCACTCACCACTCCGGTCAGCCGCACCCCCTCGCATGATCCTGGCCACTACGACAGCCCCCGAGTGCTCGTCCCGCCGGATGGTGGCACCCTGCATTACACACAAAACAGGCAGGCTCCTAAGAGGCAGCCCCAAGGCCAGACCTCGCCTCTGCAGTCCCCACAGCTGCCTCCCCACCTCCCTCTGCCACCCCACAGGGTGGGCCGGTGGCTCTGCCAGCGATGTAGTAAAACCTACATCTCAGCTTAGCACAGCCCCTTGGACAAGGCCAACATCGTCAAGGTCACCCTGCCTGGAAGGAAAGCAACACACTTCCTGTGAAGCCCAACCCAGAGCTGGCTCAATCACATCACAGATAATGAGGAGCATTTCGCATCCCATTCTCAACCTGCCACTAACCAGTCCTGAGCTCCAAGACTGCTGTTGTTGCCCAGGGGAGTCCATCAGGCCCAGCCTAAGCCCCAGGACCAGGACTCGGGCCATGGAGCACCACGGAGATGACATCTAAGATGAGGAAGACATGACAAGCCCTTCCCATCCTGCCCCATGCAGTAAAGCTAAACGCTGAGCTGCAGTTTTGAATCCCACTTTGCCACCGGCCATCACCACCGGCCTGGACAAGCAAGCACCCACCAGGGGTTCTTTGTTCTTCACCAAGCGTACAATCTTCACTGACTCCTCCTCAAAATCCTCTTCCATGTTCTCAGGCAGAGGTGGGAGCACGGGGTCAAAATTCTTCTGGGCCACGGTGTCATGGACCATGAGCATAGCCTGCAGGGAAAGTGTAGGGGAGCCAGGCTGGACCCACAGTGCAGAGAGGGCCGCGACTGGACAGGAGCCTGGGGCTCCCCGAGGCAACACCGGCCCAAGCAGTCCTCACTCAGTAGCCGACCCCCAGGTACCCATCCAACCCCACATGGCGCGGGCAGGGAGGACGGGGGGACTACCCTGAGGTGGGGGGTGGACAGCAGCTGCAGCAGCTCCCGCTCATCTCCGTGCACAGAGGCCGCCTGCAGCTCTTCCATCACCTGCAGGGAAGCAAACACAACATCCTGGGCAGCTGGGCCACCCCACCCCCAGGCAGCTCCCCTCTCTAAGTCTCACTTCCAAGGGTCCCCTCTTCCACCTCTCTCCACCAGCAGCACCTGCAGCACCCAAGGATGGATGAGACCCTCAGCTTCTGAGGAAATCAGGTGAGGGCCTGGGGGGAGCCGGCAGGTATCCAAGTTCATCGGACTAGAAGTAACGCAGCCCTTACTGTGCACTCTTTACACCATGTGCACCTGCTGACTGAACCTTCGCTACAAATTCAATGTAGCAGAGACTAAGAGGGGAAAGTCTGTGGAGAGCACGTATTAGAAAGGGACAAGGCAGGGATTTCCATTTTATTTCGTTCCCAAACGACTTCTCTTTTGATTGACTGACAGCTTCCACGAGCCTTTGCAAATGCCCTCATCTTGTGTTGCCATCTTACAGATGAGACCCCTGCGACACCTTGCCCAAGGTCACACCCAGGACTTGAATCAGGCTTTACCTGATGACTTCAGCACCCTTACTACCACCCTATCCTCCAGGTGAGAAGACTTGAGTCTCAGAAGGGTTGGGTGCCCTCGGAGGGTCAAAAGCCACAAACAAGTTGCTGAGCCTGGGAGCTGGGCACCCAAAACAAGGAGTGGGGGTGGGGGTGCTGCCCTCCTCCCTGGGCTGCAGCCTAGGTTCTGCATGTGCACTCAGAGCTTACTTCTGTAAGCAATCAAGACAGCACTTGCTGCCACCAAGCACAGAAGTCCACACTGGAAAACATCCCTTTAAACAGTGAGACAAGCAGGCACTTAAGAGTAACCATGCCCCATCCCACACCACAGTGCCCGGGTTTGATCCCAGGCTCCACTCCTGACTCCAGCTGTTCCCCAAGTCAGACACGCACCAGGAGACGACGGCTCAGATCACTGAGCTCCAGCCACCCACGGGGAGACCAGGAAGGGCAAGGGCCCCCACATCAGGACGGTGAGCTGGACCCCCAGAACACAGCGTAGTCGCCTGGCCAGTCCCCTTCGCCAGCTCAGAACAGATGGCCATCTGCTGATCCCGCTCAATGCTCCCAGCTACAGCCCAGGAGACAGACTTCTCCAGAACACACAGCAGGTGGGCGTCACCCCAGCCCTGGCCAACGCTCCCAAACTCCTCCTTGCCTGGCAGGAGGCCCAGGGAAGAGGAGGAGGAGAAGCTGCTCTTCACCTTCAGGCTCTCAACTCTGGTACCCACAGGCTTAGCAAGGGCGAAGAGATGAGACAGAGACCTGAGGGGTAGACAGAGAAGATGGAGGTGACCCCAAAAGAAGAAACCTGGTACTTACATCCTCAGCCAGGGCCACTGCGCTGTGCAGAACGGGAGTCGGACTCTGCCTCTCATAGTAGCGAAGCTTCTCATGAATCTGCAAAGACAACCAATGTCAAGTTTACCCTGGACACCACCAAGAGCTGTGGTGTCATCAGCAGTACAGGACAGCAGAAGAAGCAGCCCTGACTGGCAGGCTGGAAAAGCCCCCTGTCTCCCAGGAGGGGTGGGGGATGGCCACAGAGGCTGGGCAGACCCGCAGACGCTTGGGCACAGAAGGCTGGAGGATGTGACCTCACCTTCATGAGGTACTCCAGGCTCTTCTCACTGAACACATCCCTCAGGAAGCCCATCTCCTCCTGGTGGTTGGAGTCAGGCCTGAGCTGGGAGGTCAGCAGTGCCAGAGTTTCATGCAGACCTGGGGGTGGGGAACCGGGAAGGAGAGACAGGGAGGTAGAGGCAACTCCGTGCCCCCTGCCACCTCTCCCTCATCAACAGACCCTCAGACACAGGTGCAGCAGGTGCCTGGGCATCCTGTCCCTGGACTGCAGAGTGGTGGGGAAGGGACACTCACCTGAGTCCTCCGACAGCATGGGCATGCCTGGACCGGTGGGCTGCTGAGAGTTCCTTGTGCTGGGGACGGGGCAGAGGCGGGGTTGATGACGTCAACAGTGACAACACACCTGCCAGGTCTGGCTGAGACCAGTTCAGATCGAGAGGAAATGGAAACACAGTTATTTATTTATTTACTTATTCATTTAATTAATTTATTTATTTTTAGAGAAAGGAGAGAAAAGCAAGCTTGCCTGGGTGCCTCCTGTCTCCCCCATCCACCCTCCCCCCCAAACACCAGGCAGTGAGCTATGAGAAGTGCAAGGCCTGAGCCGTGGATATTAACACTCCCATTTCCCTGCCAAAGCAGCAAAGGTTGCTTGGGATTCAGCAGGTTACTCTGGAGTTACAACCCACACCCAGGGCGGCTCTTCCAGGACAAGCCTCCTTGACAGCTGGTGCTCTCCACCCTTCAGCAGGTGTATCTCTCACCACTGTCACCCTCAGAGGCCGTGCCAGGCTACCAGCCTGACACATCCTGGTCTGGCCTACAAGCCCTGACCCCCTACCCCCACCTCCCCAAGTCCCAGCCCAAACAGGGTCTCCAGAACTCTGCCTAGGAAGGAGGTGGGGGCCCTGAGAGTTGGGTTTCTACTATGCAAGGATGGGGGCGGGGTGGCTTCTATCTCGGGAGTGCATCCCAAGACGCTCTACAGCACGTGGACCCCAAAACTCCTTCGGAAGGAGACAAGGAGAGTCAAGATTAATTCATTCCGCAAACATGGAGCCAGCCCGCCGCGCAGAGCAGCTGGGACGCCCAGATGCATGAAGAATGGTGCCCGGCCCTCCTGCTTCGGCCCCAGCCCCGGGCCCTGCCGGACTCACCCTCCGGCTCCGGCTCGGTACAGCTGGAGGCTCCCCCCGCGCTCCCCGCCGGCGGCAGAGCAGACTCCTGCTAGCTTTCGGAAGGGACCTGTGGGACCAAGGAGCGCGGCTGGGTGAGGGACAGGCGACACCCGGAGACCCGAGGGCCGCCCCGGAGGATGCGGAGCGAGGACGCACGGGGTAAGGGGCTGCGGAAAGGAAGCTGGGAGGGGGTAACCGAGGGATGGAGACTGCCCCCACCCCAAGTTGGGGTCTCCGTGGACCCCCAGGGATGTTCTCGGCGCGCCCGGTCCGGCCTCTTCCGCCAGCGCCTGCCGCCTTGTCTTTTCCCCGCGCCTCCTACCTCGTCGCGCGGGGATCTGAGCTCCGTGACCGTGAGCCGCGCGGGCGCTCCGAGGCGCCGCCGCCGCCGCTGGCTCCGCCTTCCCGGGCTCCTCCCTGGCGCGGCGGCGCGGGGCGGGAGGAGGGGTGGAGCGGAGGCGTCCTCGCGCCCGGCCCCGCGGCCCTAGGCCCGCACCGCACCGTCCCATCCCCTGCCGCAGCACCGCCTGGCCGACCCCGAGAGCCCGGCCTGCCCCCACTCACACCGCCCGCCCCCGCGGGCGGAGGCCAGACACCTGCTCCACTGACCGCTCAGCTTTGCAAACACTTACCGAGCGGCCTCCAAGCACCAGGCACTGTGCCAGGGGCTGAGGCTCCAAAGGCTACCCTGGCTTGGAGGAGCGCCGAGCCTGGAGCTGGTGGCGCGACGGTACGCGAGGGCAACAATGCAGCAAGATTTATCGGTGCACCTGCCGCGGGGCGCGGACCGGCAGCGCGCGAAGGCGGGCTCAGTTGTGCCTGGGAGTGGGGTGGGGCTGCGTGGTAAAGGCGGCGCGTGTCCAAGGGCTTTTCCATAGGGTCATCTCAGAAATAGCCACGACCGTCCACGACTTCCATTGTGCTATGTTTGTACCCAGATATTCCGCAGACCACATCACAATAGACCCTGAGATGGAGACCATCTTTATTTCAGCCCAGCCACGGAGGAACCCGAGGCTCGGGAGGTGGAAAGAGAGGATTGGAGCCGCTGGGTACGAGAGCAGGCGGGGGCGCCCGGGTGAAGTCTGGGAGGGAGGTGAGCGACTCGGCTGGAGGAAATGAGCGCGCACCGCCCGCCAGCAGCCTGCGGCGCACCGGGAGGCGGGAAGGGTCGCCAACGTCTGGCCGGCTCCTCCCTCCGTTCCTCACCTTGTGTCTGCGCCTGTGTTCTTCCAGAGCCGCGTGCCCGGTAACCACCTGGGGCTGTGGGGGTGGCTCCAGGCGCCCCTGCTGGACTGCACACCACACACTTTGGTAGATAGACATGGCACAGGACACATTTTCACCTGGCGGGAAAATTATTTTAAGCATAAGGTTTGTTTGTTTTTGATATTTCTGCTTTTTCCATTCTTTGTGCTCTCACATCATGTTTTGGTGCCCTTGTCAACAAGCATCCTATGTCAGATGGTTTTTGATAGCATTCCCAAATAAGCCCCCCACCCCAACTCCCCGAAAGACCATAACAGTCAGACTGAAACCAGGAGTCTGGAACTCTCTCGGGGTTTCCCACATGTTTGCCTGGGCTGGAGTACTTGGGCCATCCTCTGCTGTTTTCCCAGGCGCATTAGCAGGGAGCTGGAGCTGGACCGGGGCAACTGGGATTGGAATGCTCATCTGGGATGCTGGGCTGCAGGCGGGAATTAGCCCACCACAACACAAGCTCCAACAAACCATTTAATTTGGTCTATTTGTAATTTTTTAAAAAGATTTATTTATTTTTATTGGAAAGACAGATATACAGAGAGGAGAGACAGAGAGGAAGATCTTCTGTGCGATGATTCACTCCCCAACTGACCACAATGGCTGCTGCTGAGTCAATCCGAAGCCAGGAGCCAGGAACCTCCTCCAGGTCTCCCACACAGGTGCAGGGTCCCAAGGCTTTGGGCCGTCCTTGACTGCTTTCCCAGGCCACAAGTGGGGAGCTGGATGGGAAGTGGAGCTGCCAGGATTAGAACTGGCGCCCATCTGGGATCCCGGTGTATTCAAGGCGAGGACTTTAGCTGCTAGGCCATTGTGCCAAGCCCAGAGTTCTTTAACTAATATATTTATATTTATCTGAAAGAGAGAAGGAGACAGAGAACGAGATTGTCACACTCCTATCTGGCTCCTCCCATGCTCATTGTACCAGGCCAAAGCCAGACCCCTGAAGCCAGGTAGGGTCTCCCGCATGCGTGGCAGGAATCCAGGTGCCTAAGCTGTCACCTGCTCTCCCAGGAGCCTGTGAGCAGGAAGCAGGACTAGACAGCGAGCTGGGACTTGAAGCCAGCACTTCAACATGGGAGTAAGGCGACACAAGCCACGTCCCCACCACTGTGCCAAACACCCACCCCTGAGAGTTTTTTAATAAACTCGACATTTTGGAATAATTTTAGATGTATAGAAAAATCAGTAATCTAGAATAGAGTTCCAGAACAGCATTACTCCGGTCTTTAGCAGCTTATATAACCATGGTACATCTCTCAAGCCTAACAAATTACCGTGGGCCCGGCATAGTGGCCTGGCAGCTAAAGTCCTCGCCTTGTACGCATTTGGATCCCATGTGGGCACTGGTTCTAATCCCGGCAGCCCCGCTTCCCATCCAGCTCCCTGCTTGTGGCCTGGGAAAGCAGTTGAGGACAGCCCAAAGCCTTGGGACCCTGCACCCGCATGGGAGACCTGGAGGAGGTTCCTGGCTCCTGGCTTCGGATCGGCTCAGCACCAGCCGTTGGGGTCACCTGGGGAGTGAATCACTAAATGGAAGATCTTCCTCTCTATATATCTGACTTTGCAATAAAAATAAATAAATCTTTAAAAAAATCGCTTCTTGGCCTTTTGGCTAAGATCAAGTGTAATAAATCTTAAAAAAAAAAAAAAGAAGAAAAAAATTATTGTAGGTACATTGCTGTGAACTAAACTCCAGTGGTTTTTTTTTTTTTTTACCAGTTTTTTTTTAATGTTCTAGGAGCCAATCCAAGGCAGCGTATTGCACTTAATCTTGAATGCTTCGAGGGCTCTTTTTAATTAATTTACTTAAGAGACACAGACAAATAAAATTTCCATGAGGTCAGTGCTGTAACACAGAGGGTTAAGCCACCTCCTGTGTCACTGGCATCCCATGAAGGTGCCGGCTCAAGTGCTGGCTGCTCCAACTCCCTTCCAGCTCCCTGCTTATGGCCTAGGAAAGCAGCAGAGAATGGCCCAAAGCCTTAGGACTCTGCACCAACATGGGAGACTCAGAAGAAGCTCCTGGCTTCAGATTGGCTCAGCTCTAGCCATTGCAGCCACTTGGGAACGAATAAGCCGATGAAAGATCTTAACAAACAAACAAAAAAATGGGGGCCCGGCACAATGGCCTAGCAGCTGAAGTCCTTGCCTTGAACATGCCAGAATCCTATATGGGCAATGGTTCTAGTCCCGGCAGCTCTACTTCCCATCCAGCTCCCTGCTTGTGGCCTGGGAAAGCAGTTGAGGATGGCCCAAAGACTTAGGATCCTGTACCCTCATGCAGCCATTTGGGAAGTGAATCAGCGGACGGAAGATCTTCCTCTCTGTCTCCCTTTCTCTCTGTATATCTCATTTTCCAATAAAAATTTAAAAAAATCTTTTTTAAAAAGATTTTTGAACTTTTATCAGAAAGGCAGATTTACAAAGAGAAGAGACAAAGAGAAAGATCCATCCACTGGTTCACTGCCCAAGTGGCCCCAATGGCCAGAGCTGAGTTGATCTGAAGCCAAGAGCCAGGAGCCTCTTCAGGTTCTCCCACACAGGTACAGGGTCTCAAGGCCTTGGGCCGTCCTTACTGCTTTCCCAGGCCACAAGGAGGGAGCTGATATATCTCTTATTTTTTGGCAGCTTAAGTTATTTTGTATTTCTTCTTTTTTTAAGTTATATTTTTGATAATGATTACATGGTTGATCAGAGTGCGAAGGATTGAGGATTAGGGAAAAGTGGGCAAAATCATTGTTTCCAAATTACCTATTTCTTCTTGTCTCTAGGGGAAGGGGAAAGATAAAGGGGAAAGCCACACCAGCCCCCCAAATGTCCCGGAACCGCCACCCAGTATCAACCCAGTATCAACCCAGGGTCCCGATGTGGTGCATGTTCCAAGGGTTCTGACCAAGTGGTGTGGATAGTAGTTCTGAAATGCTGTCAATTTCGCCGATCCAAGGGTGAGGCAACTCTCCCTTGTCCACTGGCTGACATGGTCGACCTCAAGTCTCCATTCACCCAGATTTTTGCTGTCCTTGTTTCCTGGTGTAGTTCTCCAACTGCTTTTTTTCTCCTTCCCCTGCTATGGTATCAAATGAGCTGCCATATTTTCCACGTGCATCAGGATCTGTGTCCACTGCTCTGCCTTTTTCCCTTGCAGGCAGATCCCAGGACCTGGGCCAGGCGACTCAAGCCCTGCCAGATCCTTCGCTCCCTGGGGCTCATGGACTTCGTACTCGAACATACAACAGCTGGAGGCAGGATCAGGAATCTCAGACTCATTCCGGGTCTCCCCCGGTGGAGGTGGAAGGGACTCAAGGAATGGAGCTGTGACCATTAGCGGGCTGTGCATTAGCGGGTGCGCTGGAATCGCGGGCGGAGTCAGGATTGGAACCTAGGACTTCTGACCCGGAACGCGAGTATTCCAAGCAACACTTCAGGGCGGCGTCCATCCGTAACCGCCAATTCACTTCCTCAATAGCCAAGACAATGCCGAGCGCGTGGACGGACCGGCCTCGCGGCCAGGCGCACGGCTCGGGAACAGTCGCTCAGCTCAGCCCGGCCTGCACCGCCGCCCTGTGGTGTAGGGCGGTACTGCACTTCCCGCGTAGTGTCCAGAGGCGGACCACGAGTTCTGCCCGCTGTGCCCTTGACCCCCAGCATCTCGTTGCACTTATGGTGCTTCCTCTCAGAATTGTGACCCTTCCCAAATTTATGATAAAATCCACATGTTTAAAACAAAATGAACAATAGCAAAATGGTTCTCAAAAATACTTGTACTGGCCTAGGGTTGCAATAAACTCGAGAATTTGGTGGATGGGTCTAGCAATGGCTGCTTTTGAACGCCCTGGGGAGAACACATGGCATTCCAAGACCCCCGAACACCCTGGCATGCTCGTGTCTGCCCCTTTCTTGGTCATGAAGTGACAAGTTACTCCCGACAGAAGGTCAACTAGCTACCAGCTAGATATTTTTGCAGATTGGTGGGTAACTTTCACACCCATCCCCGTTCAAATCTGTGAGCTCCCTGAAGTCCTTGCATAGACCCCTTGGGGTGCATGAACCACAAGGTGTAGGCCCCCTAGAAGGAGGAGCACGAATTTAGGAGGAATTAAGTTCAGGAAGCAACCAGGCGCCTCCCAGGCTGCAGGCAGTGGGGGGGGGGGGTGGCAAGCAGAGGTGACCGCAGGCCCCTCCCCTCCCTTCCTGATACTGATCTGGGATCTGCAGGAAATTACATCCCCCACAGCCCCGAGAGGAGCTCCAGGAGACAGCGCTGCTCCCATCGCCCACCATGTGGCCCCTCATCCTGCTGTGGGGTTGCCTGGTGGTCCCAGGTGAGCCACGGAGGGGGATGGGAAGGGGATGGGAGGGGGATGTGGGGACCACGACCCAGCTCACCCTTTGGGTCAGCAGAGAGAGGACCCCAAAAACATCCCCTTTCTCTGATTTGTATGTAGTTGTGACCTTGCCCCTCCTCCTCCATGCTCAGCCCCAGAAAGGGTACTGCATCTGCAATGTGGGGGAAAAGGGGGCAGGTTTTGTCCCCAAACTGTGCAGCCGGAAGCCCCCCCTCCCCCCGACTCCAGACAAGCCTGGAGCCAAGGCCGGGGCATCCCCAGAAACCCCCACCCCACCCTGCATAGCTCAGCAGACATGGATTATCTCCCAGCGAACAACCCTGAGAAAGCCGAATTTCCCACATGGCTATGGCATCCATCCACCACCCTGCTCTCTTGGTTCCTTACCACCTGGCACCTAAAATCAGGTTGCATCTTAGCCCCATGTCAGTTGTACAATGAACTTTTTTGTTAGTGGGACTTACAATCATGGTATGTCTGAAATTTGAGGAAATGAGACATTATCATCTTTGTCATCTGAAGTCCAGAGAAACCTTAAAGTTTGTCCAGCGGTTAAGGGCTGGAATTCAAACCACGGGCTGTCAGGATGTGAGGGAACCAGGAGCAGCCCTGCTCCCAGGTCTCCTCGAGGGAGCCAGGGAGGCGGAAGGGCAGCAGGGAAAACCCTCTGGGAAATGGGGCCTTGTGCGAATCCGGGACCCTGGAGCCTCCACCTGCGCTGCCTTTGCAGGTTACAGAGCGCTGCAGGGCCCGAAGGAGGTCACCGGGTTGGAAGGCGACTCGGTGTCAGTGCAGTGCACCTACGGGGACGAGCTGCGCGCCCACAGCAAGTACTGGTGCCGCGAGGCTGGGATGTTCCTGTCGCGCTGCTCCGGCACCATCCACGCGGCAAACGACGGCAGCGAGACCACAGAGGGCCGCGTGTCCATCCGCGACAGCCCGGAAGAGCGCCTATTCACCGTGACCTTGAGAGCCCTCACTCCCATGGACACCGGGGAGTACTGGTGTGGAGCCAGGAAGCTGCGCTCCCATAAATTCTTCCGAGTCTTTGTGCGTGTCATTCCAGGTAGGGAGGCCTCGTGGCACAAGACAGGGGAGAGGCGCTAGCCCCACAGGCGGGCATTGGCATGGTTGCGGGGGTCTAGGCTCAGAGCCCCTTTATGCTGTCCTTTAGTCTGGGGCGCGCCCTGGGCAGGGCAGTGCAGGGTCTAAGGTCAGACCAGCCAGGGCTGCAGCCCAGCCCCAGCGGTGTGCATCGGTCTCACTGTAGATAGGCAACCTGCACCCAGCCCGCCTTCCTCCTCCTCCTCCTCCTCCTCCTCCTCCTCCTCGCCAGATCTCAAAGCTTAGGGGTGGGGACCTGAAGGAGGACTTATGAAGCCCAGGGGCTGGGACAAGAGAGCAGCACCTCCCTGGGCACTTGGCACCCCACTGGGCCTGCTGAGTCAGTGACGAGAAAGCAGATGAGGCACAGGACAGTGGGCAGTCAGGGCAGTTAGGTCTCTGTGTTCCCGGCTCACAGCTGCGGACTGGGGCTGGGGAGCTTGCCAGGGTTTACCCAAGGCCTCCCAGCAGGAGATGGAGCAGCCAGGACTTAGCCCAGTGGCTGCGGCTTTGGTGTCCACCTTTTCTGGGTGGGAAAGGAGGCAATAAAGATGTGGGTGTGTTTGTTGAAAAGGCAGAACTACCTAGAAAAGGAGGGAGAGAGAGAGAGGTCTCTAGCCTGGGTGACAGGGGCTCAAGGACTTGGGCCATCTTCCCTTGCCTTCTCAGGTGCCTTAAAGGAGAACTGGAACCCCAACCATTGCTTTGATATGGGATGGAGACACTGCAAGTGGAGGCTTAGCTCACAGCGCCCCAATGCCAGCCCCATAAAGCTCTCTTTGAATCCTACTGTACTCAAACAGCTGACAGCATCTGCAGATGTGCAGCAAAATGTTCTCCTCCCGTGACAGGCCTCGTTGGTATCTCTCTAGTGGCAGGTGGGACGGGAGAATTGAAGAGTGGCCATGGTGTGCTGGTCACTGCTTAGTGACAGGCCATGACTCAGAGTGGCCAATGGCCGTGGTGTTTCTAGAAAACAGAAACGAGGCCAGCATCTCTTCTGCTCAGATCCTTTCTCTCATGAGTCACTGCTCCAAGGCATTATGAGAAGATAAAGAAATATACAGAGGGAAAGACAATAACTACTTCTTCTTTGCAAAAGATTCTGTCATCTACTCAGAAAATCTGAGAATAAAGTGTTAGACCTGAGGTGGCAAAGATGGGGTCATCTGGGTTGGCACCCAGAAAGGCCGGGAGGGCACTGATGATGGGCTGGCTACCTCCAGCGTCTATTCCCTGGGCTGTGCCTTTGCCCTTGAGGGGTCCCAGCCTCGTGGGGAGACTGAGTCAGAAAAAAGCTGCAGAGGAAGGAGAACAGGAGACCCTGCTCCCCCGGGAGGATCTGTGCCCAGCCGCTCTGTGCCAGGCTCTCAGCTCGTGTGATGTCATCCCATAACAAAGTATAGGCTTGAGTCCTGGCTGTTCTACTTCCTGTTCAGCTCCTACTGGCACTCCTGGGAAGGCAGCAGCAGATGGCCCAACTCCTCAGGGCCCCTCACATACATGGGAGACCAGGCTCCTGGCTTCATTCAGGACGAGCTCCAGCTGTTGTAGTTGTTTGGGGAATGAGTCATCAAATGGATGTGCTGTGTGTGTGTGTGTGTGTGTGTGTGTGTGTGTGTGTGTGTGTGCGCGCCCCAGGGCCTGCATCCTGCCCCACTGTTGAAGGAGACCAAAAGCTGATCGGGGTACAGAGGGTGGAAGTAAGTGTGGGAGAGGATCAGAAGAGGTGACAAGCAGCCAGGACTGCAGGGGAAGGTCAGGAATGTGGTCCCTGAGTGGTCACAAAGCCAGGTCATGGAAGTGGGGATGGGAATATGTCTGGGGGTACAAAAAGTGGCAGCAAAGTACGCAGATGTGGGGCGTACCCACCACATGATCCTATTCAGAATGCCTGCAGCAAGACCCAGTGAGAGGCCCTGCAAGCTGTCCTAGGAGGTGGATGTTGGGATAACCAGGACTCTGGGGTCTGGGGAGGTGGGGTTCCAAGGTGCTGAGGCATGGCTTTTGAACTTATAGCTTCTGCTGGTCTCCACCCGACAGTCGCCACCACCAAGCAGGGGAATGCAGCAGCCAAAACATCTTCAATCGCAGGGACCTCTCTATACGGGCAGGCAGCAAGCACCCCGTACCCAGGCACCTCTCTGCCCACAAGGACTTCCCCATACAGGCGGGCAGCAAGCACCGGGTACCCAGGCACCTCTCTGCCTGCAGGGACCTTCCCGTATGGGCGTGTAGCAAGCACTAGGAACCCAGAAACCTCTCTGGCCACAGGGACCCCAAGTCACCCAGGAAGCTCCATCCCAGCCGTTGAACTGCATACAGCCCCAGCAGAGGATGCTGCAGCCGCCCCCAGCAACTCCGAGGCCAGGTGAGTCCCCTGTGGCCCGGGTCACTGCAGGTGGGGTTCTCAGGGGTTGTAACTGTGCTTGGCTCTTGCCATCTAGAGTCGGGCCTGGCCCCGGGAGCCCAGGGATTTCCTTGGGAGACACCAGGGACACAACTGGGTGGACTCAACTCAGGGCTGCCCTTGTGGGTGGCAGTACTGGTACCAGGGACACCAGCTGGATCCAGGCCACCATGTCCCACAGTGTCATCTGGCAAAGCTGCTCCATCCCTTTAGGAGTCAGTTTCGCTAGGTGGACCTGGGATCATTGCCACTCAGGGGACAGTGCTCGCGGAAGTCAGCACATGACAGCCCACTGTGCCCGGTGGGTGTGGGATACTGTACTGGGAGCATCACCTGTCCTCATCACAGCTTCTTGCCAGGGCAGCAGATCGATGTCCTGGGAGGTTAGGTCACCTGCCCGAGGTAGCCCACCAGGAAAGCAGCAGAGCCAGCCTGGCCTCAGAGTCTCTGTTCATTGAACAGGATCAGCTGACGGCCACGGGCGGTCAGTTCTGCCCCAGCAGAGCTGGAATCCACAGCAAGGGGTCACCTGGGATGCCAAGTTGCTTAGGCTGGCTTACCTGGTAACAAGCACCACGCCCCTCCCCTCCCGTCCGCAGGGTGACCATCCCCACAGCCCGTATGTTGTCTCCCTTCCTCGTGCTGCTCAGCCTCCTGCTCGCCGCGGGCCTCATCGCCTTGGGCAGCCACATGCTCGGATGCGGCAAGGAAGGTGAGCGAGGGTGGGTGGAAGGCTCCCTGAGTTCTGCGGTGGCTCCCCGACCCCTGCGCCCCTGGCAAGACTGCAAACCTCAGTGTGTCCATCTGAGAGGTGGGCATCGGGCTCTCCTACACCTGCCAGCCCATGAGGTCAGCGACATGAGAAAGAAGCATCTCTAAGAGGAAGCAAGAGATAGGGGTTCCCGGCTTCTTCCCCAGTGCCGCCTCCTGGCAAATCTATGTCCAGTGTCTGCAAGTCTACCTCCTTGTGTGGGATTGCCCTCCGGGCAGTGGCAGGATGGGGAGGATGGAGCAATGCAAGACTGAGCACTTGAACAGGATTGACATGGTCACCCTATGCCTACCACAGAGCCAGTCCTGGCTCTGCCCTTTGAGTTGTGTGACTTCAGCCAAGTCACCTCGCTGCCCAGAGTCCCAGATATAAGAGACTTTGAACCACACGGTAATTGAACATTTTCTAAACACATAAAAGAAAAGAAAAAAAAAAAAGAGATGAAGTTAGTGCAACTGTTGTCATTTCTTTAACCTATTCTAACCAAAACATCACTGCATCTGGGGACCACTATGAATGTGTGAGTGGTGCAGAACCCACGTTGGCTGTCTCACACCAGGTCTGCAATGCTTGTTGTCACGACCTGACAGCCTGGTGGGCTTGGGCTGCCCCATTGCACCACATGCATTGCACGGACAGAAAGAATGACCCCAAAGTCTGGGGACCGGAGCCTCCCCACACACCAGGCACCGCTCTGCGCCCAGGTGCGGAACGTGTCTCCTTGACCTAGGAGTGCACTCGCTTCACCAGAGAGGAAACTGAGGCACTTGGTAATGAGGCAGCTTGCCTTGCCTTTGCACAACGAGGAGGCGACAGAGCCAGGAAGATGGCTATCCAGTCATCCAAGTGAAGGTGGCCAGGCCTGCCTCCCGCCGCCTCCCTGTGTGACCTCTACTCACATACCTGCCTCCCAAATGCCCCCGCCCAGAAAAGGGTGGTAACTTGGCCCTTTACCCAAGTCTGTAAGTGAGCATAGCAGGAGGAAACATCCCCAGTCCCCAACTTCAGAGCCACCAAGCGCCTTGCCTCCTGCCCCGTGTGGCCCAGCCAGCATCAGGGGTGGCCCCAGAGCCTCCAGAAATGCAGGTTCTCAGGCTCCAACCTCAACCTAATTGATCAGATTCAGGAAATGTCTGGGCATCCTGCAGGCTTGTGAAGCAGTGAGCACAGCATGCAGCCCCTTCCTGCCCAGGATGACAATCTCCACAGCCTGGTCATTCCCAGGGGACTGTGCTGGAAGGCACTGTCCACTGGCTGCCACCGGGCAGGCCTTGCTCCCTGGGGCAGCAGGGGCTGGCTGCTCCTGGCCATCCCATCTCTGCTTCAGTCTGCTCCTGCTTGGTCTCTTTCAGCTCAACCGGCCTCAGAGACAGAGAAGAGCCAGGGGACTGAAGTCTACTTCTCCACCTTGGTGAGGACAGAGCAGGTGGAAGCCCCAGTGCCAATGCCCTTGAACTTGTCAATCAGCGCTCCTGGGCCCCTCATCTGCACCTTCCTCCTAGGACCTCTGGGTCTTGCTCCCCACCTCTGAGGGATCCAAGGGCCCAGAGTTGGCTCTTTTGGGTGCATGCTGGGCCAGATGCCTGTGCTCAGCCCGATTTCCCAGTGGCTGCTAGGCAGGCCGGGCGCAAGTTGCCCAGGGAATCTCTTCCCTACTCCTGGCACCCCTTCTCTTCCTGCTAGAGCATAATCAGAGTATATGAGCCCTGGGTGCTGGGGAGCCTTTGAGATCACCCAATGCAGCCAAGGCTTCACCCCCACAGCAAAACGACCAGAGTTGGGAATGCACCCCCACTCTCACCCCGGTCCAAGCTGAACCCTCCAGGGTGGGACCAGGGACTCTGACAGCACCCCAGCCTCCAATGCTCCCACAAAAGAAACAACTGAGGCCCAGAGAAGGTACAGGTCTTATCTGAGGTCACACAGCATATAGTGGTCAGATGGAGAGCAGGACCCAGGACTTCGACTCCTGTCCCTTGTCTTTCCAGAATCCCAGGTGTTTGCTTCTGGGATTTCTTTGGCTTTGACCTCAAGGTGGCTGCCCAGGGGTCCTGGCTGAGGGTGGTATCTGGGCATCAAAGAGTAGAGGGACTAGGCATCCCTGGGCCCACCTGCCTGGAGAAGGAGTTGTCCGCTGACCCTTGCAAGAAGCCATGGTGGCCTCCCCAGCCCACACTCCTGGAGGGTGCGGGGCCACAGGATGGAGGCACCTCCAGACCACCGAGCCCCGGGCTGTTTACTGAGTCTTTCCTGGCGCCAGCAAGGACAAAAGCTTCTAGGGAGGGGCCGTGGTGGGAATGGGCTCTCCAGAGCTGAGGAAGCAGCTGCAGCCAGCTCAGGAAGTACCACCAGGCCAAAGGAGGCAGAGGGGAATGAGGGAAAGGTCGTAGGCACGGGATGGCCACTGGCCACCAAACAAGGACCGGGGGCCACAGGGACATCTGTGCGCCTGTCCCAGCCACGTGTTCCTGCGCTGTTATGAGGGAGGGGACAGCACAGGGCCCTGCAATGTCTGCCTTTTCTCCGCCTCTTTCCCTTGTGGCTTTTCCCTAGTTGAGTGGCATCTGTAGATGACCTTGATGGGTTTTATATCTGGGGAATGCTCTCCAGGGGCCAGGAGAAGGCAGAGGGCAGCCAGGTGGGTCATAGGCAGCACGGCCACCGGATTGTGCCTCTGTTCCACCCTTAACTGAACCATGTGTTCAGCGTGGGACCCTCATGGGGAAGAGCCTGGCGCTGCTGTCCTAAGGCCTATAGTGGCTGGCAGGCCTGCCTGGGCCGAAGCCTCGCGGGTCAGGGCTCACGGGGACCATTGTTCTTCCCAGTATTTCTTCTGCTGCATCTGTAACTGGGTGAATGGTTGTTGGCTCTCAGTGAGCTTGCAGGCTGTTTTAAAGCATATAAATAGCAACAATGAAAACAAGTCCACCATCCCCCAAATTCTCATTGTTGAGTGGTGACATGCCGGGGTCCTGAGTGTTGGTGACAACTCTGAGGAAGAAACTTCTATTCCCATTTCACAGCTGAGGAAACTGAGCTTCCACCTTGGAGCTGGGGGCTCCTCCCCCGCCCTCTCTGCAGAGCCCCCCTCCTGGGGCTCCCTGCTACCCACCAGCCCAGCTCCGGAGTTCTGACCGCTCCCAGGTGGACAATGTGGGGAAGCGGAGGAGGGCTGTTCCCCCATCCTCACCCAATGCTTCCCCCGCCGGTCCCAGCATGGCTGTGGGCCTGAGCATGCTCACCCAGGAAACTGAGGCTCCTGACCTCACGTCCTTTCTTTCCTGAAGGAGAGTTCTCAAATGAATGGCTCACCAGAAATGATGGCTTTCAGAGCTCTGGCCCATTGGGATCCTCCCTCTTGGGCCAGAGTGGGCCCTGAGATGGGAGGGAGCTGGCAGGCATCTCAGGCTGGGGCTTCTGGAGAGAAGCCAGAACCCCATGGCTGTGGGCCAATGCAGGTGGACAGAGGCCGACACGGCCACTACCCCGGGCTCCCTCAAGCCTGGTTCTGTGTCTCACATTCCACTGTCATCTCTGCAGGCCCCAGAGGAAGTAACCACCCCTTCCCAGTTCGCTGAGGAGGACAGGATCGCAGGGGACCCACCATGCACACCGGAGGAGCAGCTGGCTTTCTCCAAGTTCGTCTCCGTGTAGCTACAGAGTGTGACCCTGGCCAGGCCATGAAGCCAACAGGCTGGCACCACTGCCTCAGAAGCCAGTAACCCATGATCCAGGGCTTTGCCCTCCCTCCCCACTGTCTTCCTGCAGTGGTCAGCCGTATTGGACCCAGTCCCTCCCACCCCTGTCCCCGCCCTAGGGCAGGGACTCCCACAGCACCCACTGGAGACTGAGCATGCCCTAGTATGCTCTAGCCCCTGGACAGGGCCCACAGCTGAACCAGGCAGGGCTCAGGGAACCAGGGCTGAATTGGTTTCCACGTTTGGATGTCCAACCACAGGCCCAGCTCCTTGCCCTCTGGAGCCTGCTTCCTCCTCCTCCTCTTCCCTCCCAGCACAGGCTCAGCACCTTCTCTTAATGTGCAGAATGTGGCTCCTCCAGTCCCAACTATGAGCTACCTGCAAGGAGCCTCCCTGAAAGCTACTTAGAAATATCCTTTCTGGGCCCTAGCAAGACCCACCAAGACCATCTTCCAGAGGCTGGGCCCAGGACTCTGCATTTCTCACAAGTACACCAGCAATTCCTACACTCAAGCCTAAGGACCCCAGGGGTCTGATCACCCCTCCAGTTCCCCCTGCTTTGAGTGTGCATGTGGCATGCATGGCCCAGGGTATGCTCTCTGTTTACTACCCTGACACTCAGCTGGAGGGTCCCGAGGACCAGCCCAGACCCAGGTCAAGGTCAGGAGCACATTGGAAGGCTGTGAGCCGAGGGCTGGAGGAACAGCAGCCTATCCATGCTCCCATCCCAGCCTGCATTTCTGGCTCCTTCCTGGCCTAGAGAGCGCGAAGCTTCTCAGAGCTGAGTGTGTGCATGACCAGAGCAGCAGCCTGATGCTCCCTTGGGTCTGGCCCCCTGCAGAGGTGATGGGAGCAGAAAGAAGTCACCCTCTGCCCCGGGCCTGGGCAGGCAGCATCTCTGTCTGCTGTGTTCTCTTCCATTTTTGTCCCTCGACCTGTTTGCACTTTTCCAGAGCAGCTGTGTTGGAGACGCAACCCTGTCTCCTGCTTTTCCTACTGCATTCTTATACTGTGCGCTTTTCTCTATGGTGGTGCAAACCCTTTGGAAGTAAACTGTTTTATCAGCTGCGGAAGTGTCCGCCCTGCGGGTGTGCCTCCATTTGTTTCACCGATTCCCATCATGAGATATTTCATTCGTGGCTGGCTTTGCTATGAAAAATACTAAATCTCCTTCCAGAGCTTCGTCTGCCTGGGGAAGTGGCTTTAAGAAGGACCTACTCATGTGGAGGTACTGGCCAGAGGGAGGGACATCTGAGGAGTTACAGACATGCCCCACTGGAGTTTTAAAGGGACAGTTGGTTTCAGTACTCCACTCTGGTGGTGGACGCAGGGGGATGGTGTGGATGGGTGTTTCTGAGCATCCTTAGTGGCCTCTGCCCTTGCCCCTGTTGGTGTGGCATGGAGGTCAGCAGAAGGTGCCATCCAGGGCCACATCCCTTGGCAAAGGACAGATGCACCTTGTAGAAAAATCTTTGAGACAAGGCATGGAGAGCTCCATCGGAAGTATTCCTCCCTGTATATCTGACTTTCCAATAAAAATAAATAAATCGTTAAAAAAAATGCAGAACATTTGATAAATGGGTATTATTTTTAAAAAAAAGACTTATTTTATCTTTATTGGAAAGTCAGATCTACAGAGAGGAGATACAGGGCTGTGACAAGCTCCAGGGGCGCTCCTGTGGCAGGGAGAGGGGGCTCTACATGCAGCTTGCAACAGGCATTGGGTACTGGCGGCTGGAAAGCCCCCAGCCTGGTACAAAGGAGGCCCACCTGCCCATCTTTTAGGGACCACGCAGGCTGGGATGGCAAATGGCAATGGATTGAAAATGGTCCTCAACCTGAATACAGCCAAGATTCCTTCATTTTACTAAACACACAGGATCATACCAGCTGAGGGAAAAGACCGAAAGAGCAAAATCCAGTAGAATTCAACCACCTTTATTTGCAAAAATCTCTCGATGCCAAGTAGAGACTAAAAGCAACTTTCTTCCATCACAAGGGTATGGCCAACACAGACTAACTATGGTCAGCAACCTAGAATCATGAGGATCACTTGAGGAGTTGGTTAAAAATAAATAAGCAAAAAAAATAATAATAAAATAAACAAACCTGCTCTCCAGGTTTCAATCTCAACCAGAAAGGCTGGCTGACTGGCTGGCTTCAGCGAGCAGTATAAAGACTATATTTCCCAGCCTTCCTTGCAGCAACCTGGAGTCACATGACTGGTTCTGGCTAACAGATGTGGGCAGATAAAGCTAAGTTCATAGAATCTGTGAACAATCCTCTACTTTGTTCTTCAGTGACACTCATAGAGTCTCCACGTGAAGGATGACTGTGTCACAAAAAGGAAAGGGGCTGCTCGGACCATCACCCATCCTGTCTATGGGTGTCATGTGGTAAGAATGCGATAGAGCAGGTGCCTAGCTGCTATGGCTGTCCTCAGCTGACTCTACCGCCCTGGATTGGGCTCCAGGTGATTGTTTCTGGTGTCTTGTGTGCAGCCAGGACTGAGGGGCATGGAAAAGGTCAGAAATGCATGTGCCGGGCTGTCAAGGTTAATGCAGAAGCACTGAGCATCCACAGTGCCCCAGGAGATGGGAAGAAAGCTCTCCAGAGCTGAGAGAGGGCAGGGGTTCCAGCAGGGCATTAAGAGACAGTGACCCAAGGAGAAGCAGCTGCCTGGGAAGGCCTCCTACATGCTGGGAAGTCAGTGCCCCTTCAGAACAGGCAGATTTCCTCATCAGAGCAGCAAGGTAGACAACAGACACCCACATGGCTTCCATATCACCTGTTGCGGTGGCCCCAAGGTCATCCCTGTGGGACTCAGGGAACAAAGGCAGCACGGAATCCAAGACATGCTGCTCCAGTGTGCTTGCTGGAACCACCTGTGCCATGCTCCCCAGCTCTCATCCTCTCCCACCCCACTCAGAGATAAGACACCGCCCCAGTCCCGGCTACTCTGTTTCCAATCCAGCTCCTGCTGCTCTTGTGAGACCAGGATGGCGTTCACAGCTCCTGGTTTTGCCCTGACCCCGGCCCTGGGGTCAGGATGGCCCTGGCTGCAGCCAGTACGCCATATTGGGAGCAAACAGAGGATGGAAGAGCTCTCTCTCTCTGCCTACCAAATAATTTTACTAAAAAAAAAGAAGGAAGCAAGAAAGAAAGAAAAAAAGAAAAGAAAAACAGAGTCCAGAAGACTTTTCTTTTACATTTAATCAAAGATAGGAAAACAGAAAAAAAAAACCCCTGCAGAATGAGAATGTGATGGGTAGGGAAGCAGGGGAATAGAGAACTGGCTGGGACTACACATGGATGGGGGGAGTCTTCATTCTCCTGAGGTCCTCCCACTCCAGATCCCTTAAGCTGAGGGTGAGTGTGACTGACACAAGGGAGAGCTGAATCAAGAATCAAAGAGACACTGACCTTAGGAGCAAAGAATATAAAGATGGCTGCATAGTGTATGAAGAGCTATGCAAATGAGATGGGCACAGCAGGCTGGGCCCTTATATCTCATTTGCATATCGTATGCAAACGAGGCTCTACTATGATAAATATGCTTCTAACATTTGTAATAAATATTCTGTTCATTCTCCCTCCCCTTCCCTAGAACACGGGCACACAGTGGCGCAGGGGTCAGATCTGGCTGACACCATAGCAGACGTATCAGACAGGGGCACAGGTGGCCTGGGGAAGGAGCACGGGGAGGGGGAGGGGAGGATGAGATGCCTGGTGGCATCTAGGACAGTATTTTCCTTATCATGGAATCTATTTTACAAAACTGCCCTCCCCCAGGGACTGAGGGTGGCATTTAGGGCAAGGAGGACAATCAGAAAGGGAAAAAAGACATCGAGGGAGAACCACGGCTGGAGAACGGGTCTCATTAGAAACAGGGGCTGACAGGGAACCCCCACAAAGGGGCCTCCAAATCTCCCCCAGACCATACCTAACACACATACATACACACACCCAGGCCTCAGAGCTGGGCAGCATCAGGGGCCATGGGCTGGGCAGGCCAGAGCATCACGGCCTAGCCACACCCCTCCTAGACCTTCTGTGAGACCAGGACCCCTATGCACTCCTCAGCTGCCCATCCGGACAGCCCTGGGCCAAGGGCCACCTGGACCCTACCATACAGAAGACTAGGATGAACAAAGGTCACCAACAGGAAGCCAGACACATCCCACCATGGGCCACAGAGAGCCAGGGCCCCTGGCCAGTGGGCAGCAGATTCAGCCCATTGACCCTTGCCAGTCTTGCCCCCTTGGGGGCAAGCGCTGACCCACCAGGGAGTGTTGGAGAAGTCTTGGGGAGACTTCGGCAGTGAGAAGCTGTGGAGGAGTTGGGGAAGGGTAGCATCCCCTCCGGATCCCCTGCCCCTTCCTGGGGGAGCTGAGGGCAGCAGGCTGAGGGCAGCCCTCCTTCTCTTCCAGGCATGGTCAGCACCACCACTACCCAGGCTGACCCGGAAAGGGGCCAAGGCCTACACCCAGGAGGCAGGGTGTAAGTTGAGGGAGGAAGTGTGGCCAGTCCAGAGGCAGAAAGGAGTTGAGGGGAGAGGTGGCCGGGACAGTGCACCTGCTGACCATGTGGTCCCAAAGCAGCTGTCCTCTGCCCTGTACTGAGCAGGTGCAGGTGACTCTAATATTCCCCTTGGCCCTTGAAAAGAGCCTTCTGGCAGCCAGTGGACATTGAGAGTGGGCAGCACCTGGGCACAGTTTCCCCACGAACACCCACTGCCCTGGCAGTGCACACCTCTGTGCTGAAATCAGACTTAGGGTTCGCTGGTGGCTGCTTCCCAGGGCAAGCCAGGGGCCAGGGATGGGGGGGTGGGGTTGAAGGAGGTGGCTGGGAGTCAGGGGAGGGAGAGGGGCTGGGCTCAGACTCCAGGTCATGACCCGGAGTGGGCAAGGTCCAGAAACTGGCTCAGTACACCCAGCTGACGGGCACCCACTGGGGTTCCGTCCGCAGCTTCTCCAGGGCGGCCTGCAGCTCTCGGAAGGTCCTCTCCAGGTTACTGTTGACCAGGCTGAGGTCGAAGTAGTGCCCATAGCCCCTCTGGATGCGGCTGCTCTCCTCCACTGTCCGTCTCAGGTCGGCTTCCTGCCGGGTGTGAAAAGACCTCCGGCCGGTCAGGGCCCACCACCGCCTCCCAAGGGCTAGGATCTGCAGCCTGTCCCTTCCCAAAGGCCAGTCCCAGTGACCAGGACTTTCTCTGACAAGTCGGGCAGGGTGCCCCTGCATGTGGTAAGCACCCACCCTGCCACCCACCAAGGCAGCACTCCGGAGACCCCACACATAGGGAGGGTTGGAAGAAAATAAGCTTTAAGAAGTGCCACGTCCCCCACTAAAGGCTCTGCAAGGTAGAATTAATTCTCTCCCACTTCCTCCAGGAAGCTAAGCTTTACAGCTTGCTAGCAGTTCCCAGGGTCTGCTGGACTCCCATGCTGACTGCCCCTTAACTGAGGCTGGAACCAAGTGCCCAAGGCAACACCCAGCCCCAGCCTCAGCAGAAGCAGGCAGCACCAGGCACGCAAGGGAATTAAGTAACCGAGACAGCAGCTGTGATGCTGGCCCAGCTATATCTGCCCAGCTTTTGGCAGTCAGCTGAGGCTGTGATCAGGGAGGAGGCCCCCGGAGCAGGGACCAGGTGAGGGTCCTGAACTCCCCGCAAGGGCCATTAGCAGGCACGAGCCCAGCCGAGACAGCACAGGCTCCCAAGAAGGCCAGAGACGTGCAGTACCACGTGGGGCCAGCAGAGGAACCCCTGAGCTCAGAGTTTCGCAAAGCCTACTGGGCTACATCCTGCAAGATGCAGAGGGGGGCGTGGCCTGGTGTCCGGTGTCCTGCCACTGGGCAAGGGACAGCTGGAAACCTTTGCCCCGGGGCTGCTGGCTCTTGCATCTCTCCCCCAGCTTTCCAGCCTGTTTTCTTCTCTCCCTTCAGCCTTCCACCAGTTTTAAGCAACCTGGAATCTGTCAAGACAGCACCGTGTCCCTGCAGAGCAGGGCAAGCACCAGACCTGAAGGCAGCTGTGCCCCGAGCTGGCTGTGCCCCTGGATCAGGAGATCTGGGATGCTGCCCTTCCTCCTGGAACCCAGTTTGCACATTCGCAAAGCAGGGTTCCCCAATCACCTTCCTGGATACCACCTCCCTCTCCCCACACTGGGCAGCCATCAGATCCTTCCCCTGGCATTCCCAGGGCCCCTCACCGTGAGCTGCTTGGTGGACACTCCACTCTCCAGTGCAGCCCGGTTCATGGCGCGCAGGGTCTCATAATCAGGGGCTTCGATGAACACCACATAAGGAACAAACTCGGCTGTCCGCAGCACCTTCACAGCCTACGGGACAGAACACAGCAATGACAGACACTCGCAGATGTCTGAGACAAGTTGCAGGGCACAGACGGGTGAAGCCAGCTGGCAGGTGGCAGGGGTGTAACTGGAGGAGACCAGAGGAAGAGGGCATTAGGGAGGTAGGAGAAAGTGTGGTTGGCAGCAGCGGGGGGGGCAGAGGGGTGCTGGGGAGACAGTGGGGGCTGGGGGAGCAGAGCTCCAGGAGGGGATGCCAGCCAGCCAGCCAGCAGGCACACACTAGGGCCGCACCTGGGGAGACGGGGAGGGGGAGGGCTGGGGAGTAGAGCTCTGGGAGTGGGTGCCAGCCACACATACTGGGACCACACCTGGAGAGATGGCGAGGACTAGGGGGAGCAGAGCTCTGGGAGGGGATGCCAGCTGGCCAGCAGGCACACAGTAGGGGGTCATACCTGGGGGTTGACATCCAACACGCACACCTTGCCGGCAGCAACCACACCACGGATGGAGTCGATGCGTGTGCCATACAGGTTGCCCTCATACTCGCCATGCTCCAGGTAGCGCCCGGCCCGGATGTCAGCCTCCATCTCCCCTCGGGACACAAAGCTGTAGCCCTGGCCTTCACGCTCCGAGTCCTTGGGCCTCCGTGATGTGTCTTAGAGGGAGACATGGGCAGGAAGCTGGGATGCCCCCTCCCCCATCCCCACTTGGGAGTCTGCCATTCCCTCACACAGACATGCAGATGCAAGACCTTGCCCACTGAAGGACCTTCAGAGAGCACCTGGCCAGAACCAAGGGTCATGGCTGAGGCACTGAAGCTCAGAAGGGACAACGTGCAGCCCAGAGCCTTCCAGCCAGGGCCGTGCCAACCTGTGGCTGGCACCCTGGTTCCTGTTGTCCCAAGCCAGCAGCTTCTCTCATCCCTGCAAATTCTGTCTTCCACGAGGTCACATGCAAACCACTGCCTTTTCATCCTGCTCCTAGGCTGGGCACAAAGTTTTTCACAGCTTACGGCAAATGACAGGAGAGAAAAGCCCAGCCCAGCACACCTCCTTTGCCTGCACTTCTTCCTTAGGCCAGCAGAGGGCGAATTCAACACCAACTGTCCTGGGACCCTGGAAGATCCCCACTCAAGGAACCAGGGCAGCCCCTGCTCCCACTCACAGGGCACCGTGGTGCCATAGCGATCTGGATCCCACATGATCAGCTTGTTCTTCAGGCTGCGTCGGCCCACGCCCTGAGCCCCGATCAGCACCAGGGTTTTCCGGCGGAAGGGGGGCATACGGGCCACCTCCTCATAAATGAGCAGCTCGTGGCGGTCAAACTCTGCACAGGAAGATGCATGCATCATCAGACTACGCAGAGGCCAAGGATGCAAGGGTGTGGCACAGGAGAGCAGGGGTGGGGCTGAGTGGGGTCTGGAGGCAGGCTGGCAGCATCTAGACCAAGGTCATTGCTGGTCAGAGGGGCACATGGGAGGGCAGGCTCGAAGACCTACCTGCATTCTTGGTAGTCAAATACATCATGCGCTTCTTTTTTTTTCCAGAAAGGCTACCGCATAGGGTCCCTGGACACAGGGAGAGGGGCACGTGAGTCAAGAAGAGCTGTGCGGCGCCTGGCTCGGGGCTGCAGGGTGGAAGGGCCCCCTACCTACCTGATGTTGGCGTCAGCTCCAGGTCGCGCTTCACGAATGCTTTCCTCTTCTCCTCCAGCAACTGGCTGGGGATGAGCCCGGCGCTGCCGCCCTCCACGTGGCATGCCTGACACAGGCAGGGAACACAGACCTGCCTGAGCCAAGGCCCCTCTCTGCCCCCACCTCCCCCGCACCTGCCGGGGCCACACCTGCCACCAGTTGGCATCATCCTGGTTCACGATCTGCAGCAGGTCCCCGGCACAGAAGCGCAGGCCAGCTTCCTTGCAAGGGATGAGGCTGTCTCGGGCCGGGTCGTAGTCGAAGTGGCATTTCACGAACACCTGGACCCAGGAAGTGGCATGGGGTCAGGGGGAGACGACTGGGGGTGGGCTCTGCTAGAGGAAGGAGGCATCACAGTCCACTCCCTGTCCCTTCTCTCACAAAGGGGCAAGGGGCCCCAGAGCTACACCTGAAGAAGGGCGATGCCCCTGTCTCAGTCTCACCTGACATCTACAGCCAAACTGGCAACCTGATGGGTAGGGAAACAGCCTCAGCGTGGGCAAGACAGGACCGCCAGGGAAGGGGCCAGCACCCCCGTCTCCTCTGCACCCCCCTTGGAGGAGAGGCTCAGATGGGTAGGACAGCACCACCAAGGAGCAACTGTGCAATCAGCTGTGTCCCTGTACTGACTCTTACACCTGCTCACTGCCCACCGAGGAGCTCAGGCAGTGGACACAAGCATGTCCCTCGCACATGCGCACGAGTGACTAAGCAAACAGTGGGTCAACGCCTAAGAACATGCAGGGTCCTGTGGGTGGGTGGTGTGGCCAGGTGCCAACAGCCTGCCAGTCCTTGCCAATCGGAAAGGTCTGTCACCTCACATCTGAGTGGTACAGCCATCCTTCTGGGCTCAGGCGGAGGGGGGCTGGGCAGAGGAGCCCACCTGGCGGGGCAGATGGGGCTCCTGGTAGCTGGGCAGGATCTTGAGGATGACGCTGCCGCTGGCGCTACGTAGCAGCTCCTGCAGCGCGCGGGGGTCGCTGCCTACCGGCTGCCCGTTCACCTCCTTGATGATGTCGCCTACGTGCAGCAGGCCTTGCTGAGCCACCATGCCCCCGTGCAGAATGCGTGCGATCACCAACTCACCGCCCTCGACACGGAACGTCACACCCTAGGGGACAGGGATAGGGTGCAGGGTGAGGTCCCACAGTCCCACGTCAATCTCCTCCATGCCCTGGCCCATCCCACTGAGTCCTCTTCTACCACTGTCCCCCGGGGACACACTAACGAGGCTGGGACCTGGGCAGCCCCAAGAGGGCCCCACACAGCCCACTCCAACGCTCCACACACTGAATCCCAGGTCCTCCCTGGGAAAGCTCACCCACCCTGCTTCATCTTCGTCTTCCTGAACTTCCTCTTCCTGGTGGCTCTCAACATCCCCAGGCCCCACACCACATCTGCCCTGCCCGGCGCCCTCACCAGGTGCTCGCCAGCTGTCTTGCGGATGCCCACCATGCGTACGGCATCTGGAGGCACGGGCTGGCTGCTGAATGTGGGGTCCAAGCCGGGGCTGGGGGGCGGAGTCTCATAGGTCTTGGAAGCGACAGAGTCATGCGTCTCCAGGAGAGACTAGGGAGGTGGTGGGAAGAAGGGGACAATGGGACCACGTCCTGAGATCCCTTCCTGGTCCCGCCCGCACCCATGGCTCTGGCAGCCCAGAACCTGGAAGTGGGGTTCCTGGAGGATGCGGGTCAACTCAGCAGCTGCACTGCTCCGCTCGGCCAGCTGTGCTAGGTCCCGCAGGATCTCCTGCACGAGCTCCAGGTTGTTGTCACGCACGGCTTCCAGCTTGGTCTCCTCCAGCCGCTCATGGGCCTAGGGGGTAGGGGAGGTACAGGGGAAAGCTGGGCTCTTGCCTAGGAGCCTGAGAACACCCATCAGTGCTCCTACCCCCTGCACCACGCCTGGGGGCAGATCTGGCCTCAGACTTCAGCCCCTCGGGATGTGCGTCCTCCCCCCAGCACAGGATGGTTAGGACCAAGCTTAGGGATAAGGCACACAGCCTCTTTCCCTCTCCTTGCCACAGGGGTCCTCAAAAATAATTCAACTTCTCCAGCTTTCCGGGCTGGAGACCAGCCCTGTGATGCAGCAGTCACCACCTGCCCACCAGCATCCCATAGGGGTACTGCTCGAGTCCCAGCTGCTCCACTTCCCATCTAGCTCCTTACTGCTGCACCTGGGAAAGCAGCAGAGCATGGCCCGCGGGCTTGGGCCCCCACATCCATATGGAAGATCCAGAAGAAGCTCCTGACTCTTGGCATCAGCCTGGCCCAGTCCTGGCCATGAAGGCTATTCGGGGAGTGAACTAGCAAATGGGAAATCTTTCTCTCTGTCTTTCAAATCAATCAATATTTTTTTTTAACGAATTACCAAACTTCCCCAGCTCCCAACACTCTAAACACATCTGAGTTCTTTCCATCAAAGAGGCCGGGAGACCCTATAGTCCAAGATGAGGCAGGCAGGAGACAGAGTAAATTCTTCTAAGTAACTAGGACTTGAATCTGGGTCTCAGGCCCTAGGCCCAGGGGAATAAATCTGCTCCTATGGACCCGGTGCAGTAGCCTAGTAGCTAAATCCTTGCCTTGCATATGCTGGGATCTCATATGGGCATCAATTCATGTCCTGGCTTCACCACTTCCCACCCAGCTCCCTGCTTGTGGCCTGGGAAAGCAGTCGAGGACGGCCCAAAGCCTTAGGGACCCTGTACCCACATGGGAGACCCAGAAGAAGCTTCTGGCTCCTGGCTTTGGATTGGCTCAGCTCCAGCTGCTGCAGCCACTTGGGGAGTAAACCAGTGGATGCAAGATCTTTCTGTATCTCCTTCTCTCTGTAAAGTTCCCTTTCCAATTAAAAATTTAAAAAAAAAATCTTTTTTAAAAAACAAAACAAAACAAAACAAAACGAAAAGCAATAACACTACAGTAAGCAAGCCCAGCACAGCGTTGTCCACCTGCAGAGAGCAACTTCCACACAGATGCTCAGAATCCCCACTGGGGCAAGTGGTAACTAACGCCACCCCTGCACCTGCCGATCCACACACTCCCAGCAGCGAGAGTGGAGAGGTCTTCCTGAAGCCCACCACAGGGCATGGACCAGACCTCTGAGCATTTGCCTGTCACCCAGATGGGCCCAAGCTCTGCCTGGGGCTGGCCCTGCACCTTGCTCGGCACAGCCAGTGTTCGCCTGTGGCTGAGCGCTGTGTGCTCTCATCTGCTGTTAGATATTCTTATCTTTTCTTCGTCCCGTCTTTCCACTGATTCTCTCTTGGGACTGGGAAGGCTTGCCCTTCATTTGTGATATCGCCTCAAACATTTCTCCCGTGCTTGTCATCTGTACTTTAGTTCTGTTGATGCTGATTTACCATAAAAACAAACAATAAGGTGGAAATTGCTCACCTCTCGCCACCTGAATTCTGAGGCTGACTTGTGTCTTTACAGTTCACATATCTCAACATCTGTAACCTTCTAGGGTGGATTTTAGAGCTGGTTTCATGGGACCAGCTTGTCTCTGGTCACTTTAGCTATTCACCCCCTATTCCCACAGGGGGTCAGTGACACACGGCAGAGGTGACTTGAGGTGACAGAAGCAGGCCAAGCAGGTCTGGGGGTGGGCGTGGGAGGAATTCCATGGGGTCTCCCCAGTTAGGATGTGCGAGGGGTGGGGGGACCAGATCAGCGTACCTATTGTTGCATAGGAAAGCCAGGTCTGGGGACGCATAATTAGGGGTCTCCCTAGCTAGGCCCCAGCTTATAAGCAAAGGAACCAGAGCTAGTAAGCAGAGGCACTGGGGCTGGGGGTAAGCTGGGCCAAGTATCTCCATCAGCTGGGACTAATATGGGCAGGGGAGTGGGGGTGGCCCGGACCAGCCCGCTGGACCCACTGGCACACACAAGCATAGGCTCAGAGGATGAGTCAAAAAGAGGACCTTGGGGATCTTCCCCACTGGACCACTCTACCCAATCCCCAACCTCAGGGACTATTACATGGGCATGAAGTCTGGCCTCAGAGCTCATGTTGCAAGGTTGGGTCAACTCCACTGCCAACTCCCATGCAGAGACCAACAGCACACCCAGACGTATAAGAAAGACAGGACAGCCAGCTCTTCTAACTCAACAGAAGACCTTAAATACCTCACTGAAAGGAGGAAGCGGGGGCAGATTGAACAACAGTACAGGCCAAGTTCTCCAGCAACCTAAGCCAGAGGACATACTGTAAGATAAACATGGAGATCCAACAGGCACTAAAGTGCTTTCTCAGCCCTCACACAGCAAATCCAACAGCATCTCAGAGCAGTTGAGACCATCAAGTAACACCCTGAGGACATTCTTCACTCCACCAAGCTCGCTGGGATGGCATCACACCATCTTCGTCCCCAGGTGCTGACATGGTTTGACAGCAAAGAATGGTTCACCATCTCCCCCCGACTCACCATGGCCACAGCGGCAAGGGCAGCCCACCATCTTTCCCCCACCCACCACGGTCACAGGGTGGGAGGCTTTCTCCTCCCAACCCCCTGCCCTTCCACTTTGTTCAGTGGCCCATATGGATCTGCAGTCCCTTCACCTCTGTAACAAACATTAAACAATGAATAAATACTTTAAAAAAAATGCCCACACTCATCAGTTCCATTGCCAGGGTCCACCTCAGAGAAACACATACACATGTACAGAAGCAGGTGGCTGGGAGCAGGCTCGTGGCAACACTGATCTCGGCAGAGGAAAATGAGCCGTAACAGCGCACCTGCCTCTTAACAGAGAAAGTAGTGCATAGACTGGGCTCTAGTTTTAGGGTAGAAAAATCATACAACGGCTAAAACCAACCCCTCTATCTACATCTATGCATACCTATAGTATTTGTATAAACTAGAAATCTCAAAAAGAGAAGTCCAAATGGGCCCAGCACAGTAGCCTAGTGGCTAAAGTCCTCACCTTACATGCGTCAGGACCCCACATGGACACCTGTTCTAATCCCGGCTGTTCTACTTCCCATCCAGCTCCATGCTTGTGGCCTGGGAAAGCAGTAGAGCATGGCCCAAAGCCACGGGGAACCCTGAACTTGCGTGGGAGACCCAGAAGAAGTTCCTGCCTCCTGGCTTTGGATTGGCTTAGCTCCAGCTGTTGTAGCCACTTGGGGAGTGAACCAGCAAACAGAAGATCTTTCTCTCTGTATCTCCTTCTCTCTGTATCTCCTTCTCTCTGTAGACCTGCCTTTCCAATAAAAAATAAATCCATCTTGAAAAAAAAAAAAGATACCTGTATGACATGCCCAGAGGCAGAGGAACAGGTGGAAGGGGCACAGGATTCCAGCACACCACATGCCAAATGCCCCCCACCCCACCCTCTCCAACCGGCAGCCACCTACTGTTCACCCCCACATGACCACCAGGCATGGAGTCGCCCCCATGCCTGCACCCTGCAGCACCATACCTTGGCCAGGGATCGCACTATGGGACTTTCCATGATGCCTCGAAGGAAGATGAGATCCAGTTCGGCAGCCCCCGTGGCATTGGGGAGAGACCCCAAGTTGTCCAGGACTTGCTGCATGGCTGGAGTTGGGGGGAAGAGCAAAGGGCAGGTGGTGGGACACACACGTACCAGTTGGGCACAGGCAAGGAAAACACAACTCCCCTCCCACACCTAAGTCCTACGAGAGACCACACCCTCCCTGCCCAGCAGCACTGGCCACCAGGTCCATGAATGGCAGCAGTCCTGGGAGGTGGGGACAGCTTCCTTGGCCTTTCTTTTCCACCCTAAGTAATGCCAGCCTGGGCAGGAGGGAGGCTCAGATGGCTGTGGGTAAAGGTCAGACCCAAGTCATTCCAGACATAGTCAAACTCGGAGTATGTGTCAGGACATAAGGACACCAGAGGCTGGGCCACAGCAATGTCTTCAAGATCGGAGGGCAACAGAAGCAGGGCATGCCCAGCTGGGGGCAGAGATGGGCAGGGGGTATCATTACTCTGCCAGCCTGCCACCCACACCCTGCAGGAGAAGGGTAGATGCTTCCCCCGCCCCTGCACTCTCAAAGCTGACAGCGCTCCCCTCCTCCAAGAGGAACTGGGGGTCAGGGGGAAGGGGACCTGAAACTGGAGCTGGCAGAGGTGGTTCAGATCTCCTGCAGTGTCCCTGATCCTGGCTTCTAAGCCTTTCTTTTTGCCTCCTCCAGGATCATCCAACCTGCTTCCCTTAGCCCTTCAGGTCTGCACCGGTCAAAGACCACCAAGGTCTTCCGGCACTATGGAAGATGCCACTTCCCACGTTGCCTGCATATGCTGGGGACTCCCTCTTTGGTTTTCCTCACGTAACCCCCGCCCCGCAGGGTACCAGTTATGGGGGAGGGCTGAGCCAGGAGACCCAGGGCCCTCTGCCCGGGACACAACCCTTCATGCCCTGGGGAACATGGAGCTCCCACAGCAGGCACTCCAAACCCGGCTGAAGAGGTGCAAGTGAAGGGACCTGCTGTCCGCCCAGCCTCCCAGACCCTCCCTTCCCTACCTTCCCTCCGGAGCTCCGCCTCCTCAGAGGAACCTAGTGATATCCCCTCCAAAGAGGTCTCGCTGCCTGGGCTGCCTGCCATGGTTCCTCAACCCCGGGATGCCGGGAGCAGCCTCCACGCGCGCCAGCTTCAGCTGCCTTCCAGCTGCAGGGGCCAGCGCTGGAGAGGGAGGAACTGGCGGGGGAGAGCCTTCTGCAGAGGCGGCCAATAGCAAGCCCCGACTGCCCTGCCCGTCCTGCTGATTGGCCAAGACCCCACAGCGCGCCGCCGGGTGCGGAGGAGGCGGGAGGAGGGCGGTGGGCGCACAGGGAACGTCTCCTAGCCAGGGCTGGGTACCCAGGGTCAGTACCACTCCGGGAGGGGAGGAGGCGAGTTGGAGAGGAGGGGGTGAGGAAGGTGTGGTATGTGGCACAGCCAGCAGCAGTGGCCCTATGGCTTGAGGGTCCTGGACCCATCTTGCCCCACCCCTACCTCCATTTCTGGAAGTCCCTTATCCACTAGGCCTCATGGAACCTTCTCCCTGTACCTTCTGACCTCTGCTCTCTGTCCCCAATTCAGGCCCCTTTTACAACAAACCTCTCAGTCAAAGGAAGCCCTCAAGGGCAGTGACATCCTTGCTGCCCACCCGCCTGACCAGCACCCAACCCAGGGAAGGCCAAGGATGGTACCGATGGGACAAGGGAGAGGTTCTGTGCCCCAGCTCCTACAAGCCCTCTGAGCTAGGAGGCTGAACTGGAAGAGGAAGCAACCAGGCTCGAAAATGGGGAATGGAAAAGGCAAGAGCACATGCCTGCAGCAGGAATTAGAGTGAGCGGAAAGGAGGGACTTGGCATGTGCCCCTAGGCCAGAGCACCCCCTCCTCTGAGACCCTGTACCCATGAGGTCACCAGCAGGGCCCTGCTGCAGCTGCTAGTCGGCCTGTCCCTGAGGAGTGGAACCATGTTGCTTTGCACCCCTGGTTGCCATGGCAGCAGGCGGGCTTACACACCAGGACAGTCACCCAGGGATGCTGGAGAGATTTAAAGGGACAGCTCCACTTGAAAGCAGCCCTACATCCCAGCGTTGAAGCAAAGGGGGAGAGGGGGTGAGGAAAGGTGAAGAGAGCAGAGGCCAAAGGTCAGGAGCTGCCAGGGTCAGGATGGCTGACCTGTCATTCAACTATCTCCCAGCCCACCCTGCCCCAGGAAAGGGGCCTATCACCTTTCTCCAGTACAACGGGGGTTTCATTCCCTCCACAAGTGACAATAACTGGGGAGGGGGGCACTTTGGAAGATGCCAGAAGCATCCTGGGGAGAGCACTCTGCTCCTTCACCTGCTGCAAAGCCCAAGGGCAGGGCTTTTCAGGGAAGGCAGGAGGGAGGGGAGGAGGGGCCTGACCCCAGAGGCAAGGTCACAGCTGTCCCCCAGTCAGTCCCAAGGGAAGTACAGTGGCCATGAGGAGCAGAAGTTACAGTTAGACTTTTCCAGGTCAGGGACTAATACAGCCCAAGTTGGGGGCAGAAAGGTGCCTGTGGAAAGAGGGGTGGTCACAGGAAGTAGCCAGTTGCGTGGCACAACACCCAGGTGAGCAGGCCCCATCCCCACCCCTGGGCTCCAAGCTCTGCTCTGGCCCCAGCCATGCCCCCACCAAGCAGCCTACCACCAGACTTCCTCCTCCCCCTCTTCCATCCCCCTGCTGGGCACTATTAATGGGTTTACCAGGCAGTCCCAGATTGAGAGGCTCTAAGTACAGGCTCAGGATGGGTTTAATTAAACCCTAAGCTGCTTACAGTGGGGCCCCAGCAGGCTTGAGGGGAGCCAGAGCCCAGGCTGAAGGCACAGAGCTCCCCCCCCACACGGGGCTGCAGGAGCTGGGGACAGCAGGACAGCCTCTCCATGGTGCACAGGAGAGGTCTCCTGAGGGTACAAGGTATACAAGGGTGGCACAGTGCCAAACACAGCAGTCTTCACGTTTTCAGCGTCTCACTGTCTCGGGGGGAGAGTGTCGTCCTGACTAACCACGTGGGGAGCTGGAACATGGGGCAGATACAGAGTCAGGGAGGTGCTGCCTGCAGGACAGAACCAGGTCGGGGATGGGCGAGTGGAAATATGGCAGCTTGCAGCTGCTACAGCCCTGCACAGCCTGAGTCCCTGGCACAGCAAGCTCACGTTGGTGGGTGCCAAAGTGCACCTAGGGGAGCCCCGGAATGAAGCCTATAGGGTGAAAGATTTTATGCATGGGACATTGGTCTAGGATAAGGGCCCAGGACTGCCATTATTCTCAGAGATCCAGGACCAGTAAACTCCACTCCGGCCTGATTTTCAGAAAAACATGGACCCACAAAGGCACAGGGTCAATGTCAGGATGAGGTGGCGGCAGCCTTAAGCACCGTGAATATTCCCCACAGTGACACGATTGCACATCGATTGGCCTCTTCACCAAGGAGGGCGGGCAGACTCCCAGTGCAGCTCTGTGCCTGAGGCTCCCCACAGACATGGTGCAGGCTCCTAACCTGGGTCCTCGCTCCTCCATGCACAGCTCCCTGTGCACCCCTCCCCGGCCCATGGGGGCCACTCTGGCTCCAGGCTGTGCTGCATGCCCATCTACTCCCAAGTCGCCCCCCTCAGCATCCAGGCCACCTCCCTGGAACATATCCCTGACCAGCCCAGGGCCCGTGCCCTCACCCCACAGCAACAGAGTGGTCATCATGAATCCCCCATTTCCTCCAGCCCCCATGGGGTGTCATGCTGCTCCTCTCCTGTCCCAGCACAAGAATCCCTACAGAGGCAACCTGAATGACTAAGGCGCTGGGGACAGTTTGTTCTCTTGGGAGCTGTGGAAATGTTCCTGCCACACACTCCCAGGCCCTTAGAATTACCTAGCATCTTTGTCCCCTCCTTACCAGACTCGGAGTTGGTGGCAGCAACCGGCATGATGAGGTCGGTGAGGGCTGTAAAATGTCTCTCCTGGCAAGGAGGAGAGAGAAGATGAGAAGAAATTGGGGTAGACCACAGGAAAGGACCTCCCACTGGAGAGCAGGGTGTGGAGGGAGGCTCAAGAACAGGGGGCTGGATCGCAAGGATGCCAATGGTCCTGGCATCCTGGGGCAGGAAGAGTAGCTGCTGCACACCCACATCTTGGAGAAGGAGGATCAGGAGCCACCAACTCCGCCCTGCCACAGAGCTAAAAAGGGGAGGAACAAGGAAAACAGGCTCCTCAATTATTTGATTCCTCAAATAATTGTTTCTACTGGGCTACTTTTTTTTTTTCCAACTATGGAGTTGGGGGTCCAGAATGTTGGGTTGGAAGATCGAAGGATGAATGTCCCCCCACCTGCAAGCTCCTTGGGTGCAAGAAGCAAGCGTGGAGGAAATGGATCCGGAACGCAGGCCCAGCGTGGGAAAGATGCTCAGCAGAGATCTAAGCCTGGGGCCAGCGCCTGTGACGTCGCATCCCATAAGAGCACCAGTTCTAGTCCCAGCTGCTCCGCTTCCCATCCAGCTCCCTGCTAATGCAGCTCAGTAGGCAGTGGAAGATGACCCAGGTGCTGGGACCCTGCACCCACATGGGAGACCTGGGTGGCCTTTCAGGCTTCTGGCTTCAGTCTGGTCCAGCCCCACCTGTTGGGGCTATTTGAGGAGTGAACCAGCAGATGATCTGTCTCCCTCTCTCTCTAATGAGGGCTTTCAAATAAAGTCGATAAATCTTTTGAAACATTTACATCCAACTGACAGAATGATGTTCTGCTTCCTAAGGCCTCTCCCTTCCTCCCCTTCCTAGCCCAGAGCTGGGACCTGGTAACCTGGTGGCCCCAGGTAGTCCCCTCTCCCCACATGGTCGCCAATCCCCTGGGCTCCCACTTTCTCCTGGGTTTATGGTGTTAGATAAAACCTTAATTCCCTAGTTTCCATGACAACAGGGGGCAGTAGCTCACAGCAGAGTGGGGATGGGGAGAAAACAGCTGGCAGTGCCTACTTTAGGACTAAATGCCTTCTGGACCCTGGGACTGGGGAGTGCTAAAAAGGGCTTCTACTTAGATCTCTACCTGAGTCCCGTCAAGCCCTTTCTTCTGGGTTCCCCTGCTCACAAAAATAAGTGACAGGCAGCCCAGAGTGGCCCTGGGGCTGGGCACCCCATCTCAGGCTAGCATCTAGACTGGGAGGAATGCCCAGGAGCGACCGTTCCAGTGAGTGCCTCTGGTGCTAGTCACAACCATCCCTGTTCCTACAGAGCCAAGCAGGACCTGCCCCATCCCAGGTGGGCCTGAGCTGACCCTGGGATGGCTCCACTCCTGATGGGAGGGGGCCTCCAGGCGCTATGTTTGAAAGCTGCAGGGAGAACCCTGCGTGGAATCCAGGGGCTGGCCTGGCACAGTAGCCTGGTGGCTAGATCCTCCCCTTGCACGCACCAGAATCCCATATGGGCACTGGTTCTGTCCCAGCTGTTCCACTTCCCTTCCAGCTTCCTGTTTGTGGCCTGGGAAAGCAGTAGAGGACAACTCAAAGCCTTGGGACCCTGCACCCGCGTGGAAGACCTGGAAGAAGGTCTTGGCTCCTGGCTTAGGATCGAGGATCAGCCCAGCTCCAGCCATTGTAGCCACTTGGGGAATGAACCAGCAGATGGAAGATCTTTCCGTCTCTCTTCTCTATAAAATCTGACTTTCCAGTAAAATATACAAATAAATAAATCTTCGGGATCCCAGGGTCCAGAAGTCCTGTCCCACCTCCCTTGCCTAGATGTGCTCCCTGAGAAGTCAGTTCCCACGGCATCAGTTTGCTGTGCCCCACCCCCACCCAAGGCTCTAGCCGGCTCATGCTGCTGTGCCCACAAGAGGAGAGCAGTGCCAGGCAGGCAAGCCTGGCTCCATGCCAAGGCTCAGGACCCAGGCGTCCATCTGGGAACCCTCACCTCGTCTCCCAAAAGCCTGTGGCCAGGTGCCCTCTCATCCCTGCCCCTCAGCTCTCCCTGCAGCCAGCATGTCCTAAGTGATGTCCTCCAGCCTTCCACCCACCCACATCCGAAACATCCATATACGATCCACAGACAGAGACAGGGCGAAGGAGAAAGGGCTGACAAAGGCGCTTTGCAGACCCACAGGTCGCGGGCAAGGCCGGACAGAACGGAGGCTAAGGACGTGTTCCAGAAGC